ATATTGCAATAATGCAGCCTGCAATTAGTGAGAGATTTCATATGCTCCCGCACAGCAATTTTATAGTCTGCAACCACTTGAATAAATTAAATGCTGACCTTTTACACATCCCCTCCGACACTGTTTATGGGTCCATGCATGAAATTTCATATTAATACGGGCAGAGCATGTGTGTCCGCATTTGCGTTTTTGCTGCATGTTGGCATTTCACAAAATTAACTGCCTTTATCTAGTTTTTCTCCAGGCTGACAACCCATTAATTTCAACCAAAAGAGTTGGGTTTCTGTGTCATTTGAGTTCCACGTACACGAAAAGCACACCAACTGGCTAATGGCTGCGGCTAGATATACTATATAGCCTATGTCTGTGCGACAAGGAATGAATTAATGACAATGCCAGGAATAAAGATATATAAGTGCTAGTCTGCCCCTGTTATTATATAAATGCCTTTGGCCTCGAGTGTCATGAAATGCGATGGGAATTTTCATTATTTAACAGATTTTAATTGAAATAGCTGGGGTCAGGCAGACACAGAAACCAGAAATTAATTGAAATTCAATTCTTTGGATAAAGTTTATTGATTGGAAACAACATTCCATTGAAACTAAATCTTCTATCTAGCAAAAGACAAATAAAATATTTTCCATAGAAGGCCCAACTTTTAATCAAGTAAACTTCTCCCCAGGGATTATTCCCCTCCACTCGTATTCAATTTAACGCCTTTTCGGCACTTTTCGCCTTATATGCCTCCCGGAAAAACAGATTCTCGCATCCCCGTGGTGTGATTTATGTGCATAATTAGCAAGAAATTGCATAAGATTAGTTTTAATTAGTTGGAGCAACTTTTTGGGCAAAGGAACGTGGTGGAGCAGCCTCGGCCAGAAATACTAAATAAATAAGTTGCCTGCAGTTCAGTCGTCGCTGCCAGAAGCCAAGAAACTTCTGTGGACCATGCCGCATCCGGATCCGGATCCGCTGCGTGAACAGCAGGGATTATTCCACTCACTGGTAAAAGTGCAAGGAGCCGCCTGCAAAGGAAATAAACAAAAACTTTTTCACTCGACGCCCAAAAAAGCAGGCAACGATTTCTTACACGCGTTTGGCCTTCCATCAGAGATGCCTGAAATTTATTACCAAAGTCTTTTCATTGTTAACTTCTTGGTAGGAGAATTTATCGTATGAGAACATAAATCTAAGAATGTTAGTAAGATTGTGTTTTAAGAGTTTTTTGTTATCGTAAACATAAAAAAACAGAAAAATATTATTTAATTTAGATAAGCAAGTATGGAGTCTTAACTTATAAGTAAACTTTCAAAATAACTGGATATTAGAGGTAAAGAATAATAATAATATCAAGTAGATGAGAACCTGTAGAACTGCATTTTGAGTGGTAGAAGTTAACCGACTAAAGCCACTCATAGACACCTCATCGAGAAAATTGGCATCTCTCTTTGCTGAACATCCTTGGTCCTCCTTCGCTTGAGCTCCAAATGTTCGCGCATTATTTTTCATTTGCATTGCGTCATTTGTACACTGGAGCTACTGAAGGAGGAGCAGCGGTTGGCCAGAAGGCACTGTCTGCTCGGACTGTTAATTTATGGCGACCCCTTACGGGCGGCGCCCACCGTCCTACCGGAGTTGTTCGCCAGCTGTTCTTGTTGTTGCCCTTCGTGTCCGGCGTAGTTGATTGCCAAGGCGACCGCAAAACGTTGCCCTGGCAACAAGAACAACAATAACAACTCTGACTTCAAGCTGCCACATACGGAATGTTCTCGTATTTGTGTACCCACAATCGAGTGCTGTTTTTAATTGCCAGCATAAAAAGTAAAGACGTTTTCATTCCCCTTCCAATTGTTGCTCGGAAAAGCGGTGCTAAAGTTTTGGAAATGGTGAGAAAGTTTATTGTTGGTCAGCTAAATAGGATAGAGAAATACTTCTACTTAGAAGTTTCCAGGTCTTGGCAAATTAATAGAATCATCAGCGAATGCATAGGGAAATGCATAACAAGGATGAACGCCACACAGTTTTCTTGTTAAATAAACATTTCTTCAATATTTTAATAAAGTCCTAAAGGACCTATCACTCTCTTTGTAACACCTTACCACCATCACAGCTAGGCTTGTGTGTGTGTGCCTGTGACTATAATGCACAGCGAACATTAAAGGCAATACCCGTTTTATGGAAAAGTTTCGACACTGGGCAAACATTTGCCAAGTTTTCCAGCTCTTCTCGCTGAAGACTTCTTGTTCGTCTTTTGGTCGTTAGAAGTGTAAACAGTGCCTCAACTATAGCGACTATAGCAACTACATTCAGCTTTTGTGGCGAACTCCACACACACACACACACACCATCACACAGCTTCCTTTCGCTCGCTTCAAGTATTCGCATTTGGCCGCTGCACTTTTCGCCAACTTTTGTAAAGCACTCACGTACACACTACGTTGCATCAGCCAGCATGTGTGTGTGGAACGTGCTGGTTGCCAATTGTATTGCGTAAGTGTGCGGCATTGGGGGCACTACACGGAGAGAAACCAGTGATAAAAATACTCTTTTCTACTGAAAAATATTTGAAAAATTGTGAAATATAATTTTTCCTTTTTGGAACTTAATAGATTTTTTATAAATTTATAAAAAGAGTGACTTTTCAATAAGTTCTTTAAATTTACTTAGCAATACTAAAGATCCATTTTCGATAATAATCGTAGTTTAAGCATTTTGTTTTTTCCATTAGCATGCCCCGCATTTTTCTGTTCAGATATCTTATTCAGCATCCAATTTTCCAGTGACCAGTTTTCACATGGAAGACTGTGAAAGGAAGTGCTGAACCGCCTGTCAAGTGGCCAACTCATGGCGTAATCAAATTATTCCCGTGCCTGCACCCGCCAAAATGATTCCAAGGCATCCGGCTCTCCGAGGTCATCATGCGTGTTAATTAATTCCAGATGCTCCAACTGAGCCTCTGACCCACTGACCAAACTGACATCAGTGGGCATACACGTGTGTGTATGACTGCCGATCAATTATGCTAACGAGGACCAGCAACAGAGTGCCGTCTGGCAGACTGTCTCTCATTTCGTTTGCATTAAAAATTAAACAGAATAGGGCAAATGTGAGCCAGAATGACAGCGGAAGCACGTGCTTGGCGACTAAAATCAGGCAAGGTGATCTGGGATCTGGTGGATGACTTGCAAACGAATTTTGACTTCTCTGGGAACATTTAGAAATTCTTTAACTTTAAGATATGATTTAAATCATTGATAGTCTCCCTATTATTATTCTAGGATAAAACGTATATTAATGGAAAATGAACCTAAAATCCACACATTACAACCATACTTCCCATTCAAAATCCATGCCAGCTCAGCATTAAATATTTAATCTTTTTCATTCTGCACAGCCAACATAGCTTTAACGCTGCAAAATTGTGCAAATAATTACTTTAATAGCTATGTTTAACGTAGTTTAATTAAATTCAGAAAGCAATTTACACCGAACAAACCTGGCCTAAATTGTCCTAATTCCCCTACACAAAGCAAATGAAAATGTTGAATTAAAATTAAAATTCACGTCCACCGCAAAGCAAAGACAGTCCCAAGTGCTGACCACAAAAGGATACCACGGCTAGTAGCCAGGCCAGATGGGAAACTGGGTGAAAATGTGGTTGGCCTCGGGCCGCATAAACATCCGCATATGCCGGTCGGTGCTAACCCCTATCTAACATTACACCTGCTGCACTTTGGTAAGTGGCCGGGCACAAGGAGCAAATTGAATTTGCCACGGGGCGGATACGTAATGTGGGTTGGGCGAGCGAACATTGGGGGGCTGGCCAGCAGTCGGGCCACCGGATATCCGCTTGCCTCTCTGGCCGCCTCATGTAATATGCAACAGCCCATTCTCCCAGCCTGGCCATACTTTTCCGCCGAACTCTTCTTCCGTTCGCCGGTCATGCGGCCGGATTCAGGTCGCCCCGACCGCACACAATGGAATCCTTCAGCCGTTTTCATACAGCGCCGATTCAAATTCGACTGAATATTTGGCACCAACAGCAGTTGCCAGCTATGAAGTTAGATTAGATTAAGCCCAGTGGGGGTTGGGTCATGTCTATTAGGAATTTTAAATGCAATTTGGGTTTATCAGGTGCGAACTCGTTTGTATTTGCAGGAGCTACAAACAATTTTAATACGAGAGAAAAATTAAATTATAATTTCAATTTGTTCGCTGCTGGTTTTATGTCTTCTATGGGATATATACTGATGTGATTCGCAGATATTAAAAAAAGGTTAAAATAAAATCAATTTAATTGCACTGTAGAAAACCAAAACCAACTTCACCTTAGTTGCTCTTGCACTTTAGATTTTAGTCTTAGTGATTAATCGCAATCACGTTCACTTTTTGTAGATAGTTCCTTTCTGTCCCGTCTTTGTACTCGACTTCTCTATCGAATCTCCTTCAAACTCATGTTGTACATTTGTTTTCTTCTACTTTCTTTCTTTTTATAGCTTCAAGCTAAGCAAAAAACGTAGTAAATGAACAAAAAACGAAAAAGCATCAAAAATCAAAAGCCAAAATCAAAACAAAACAAAAACATAAATGTAAATTGGTATGCAAGTAAAACTAAACAAGAGTTGTCGATGCAACAGCAACAGCAACAGCAACAGCTACAGTTTAAACTAATACAACAGCAACAATAGAAACAACATCAGCAACAACAACAACAACAGCAAGTTACAAGAACAACAACAACAAACAAGAACAGAGTTACAGCAACAAGAACAACAGCAACATCAACCGCTGCTAGTAGATTATAAACTTAAAAACAAAAACGTACAACATTTATGTAATATTTACATTTTTTGTCGAGGCACCAAAAGCAAATTAACATTTTGCAACGTAGACTCTTAGGCGTCGCACAAAAACAAAACAAAAACAAAACAAAAAACAACCAAAGAACACAACAGCAACATCAACAGCAACATCAGCAACATCTGCAACATCAGCAACCAGAGCAATATACAAGAACATCCATCAGAAACCGCTAACATCCAACAATCCACCATCGCCACCACCACGAACCACATGAGCCTGAACAAGATCAAGAAGCGGGACGCGAGCGACTTATGACTGATGCGCTCCAAGGGCAACGTCGGCGTCGGCGTTGGGGTCAACGTCGGCGTCGCCGTTGGCAGCGGCAGCCGATACAAGGTGACTGCCCGCTGCGTCCCAGAAGTGAGCATCACGTCGCCGACGACTGCAACCGGCGCCATCCAGCCCAAGCACTTTGCCCTGCTCCGCAGTCGTTCGCAACCGTCGCCGCCGACGTCTAACAGCCTTTTCTCCACGCCAGGCGGCGCTACTCTGGTCGAAGAGGAGGATTTCAGCTTGGCCAGCGGCAGTGGTACAGCGGCCAAAAACATACTACAGCGCCAGCAGGCCACCACCGTCCAGCAGGAGGATCCAGATCTGGAGCATTCCGTGCAGGACCAACACAGCAAGTTGCCTGAGCCGGCGGAACAGCCCAATGAGCTGACTCCGCTGGTCGAGGAACCCGGTTCCGTTGCGCCAACCACTTCTAGTCATCGCTATAGCCACAACTCGAAAACCACTCGCTCCTGGCCAGTCATCTACCGTAATCCTCATCACTGCGACTACGAGGCCTTGTACGTGCAACAGCAGCAACAGCAACAGCAGAGCTTCAAGCAGAACTGCTACTCCAATCAGTTCAAGCAGTCCATCGTCTACTCCAGCAGCAATGAGGAGTTGCCCGGCGGAGAGCCGGTAGCTTCGAGTTCCGCTGAGAACCGACAGACCACGTGCTACTACTTTGCACCCAGCAGGCACAACAGCATTTATGAACACCCTTCCTCGGTGGTCGGGGGATCCCTGCAGTTTGATAATCCAACCACCACAGCAGCAGCAGCGGCGGCCGTCGAGAGTTTAAGGCGGAGCAACAGCATCCTGCTGCGTCAGAACAGCTGCGCCAAGGTTATCCAACGTCGGGGCAGCGGTAGCGGTTCACCCACCTCCCTGGGCTCCCAGATGGAGGGAATGGGCATGGGCGGAGGAGGTGCTGGCAGCGCCTGCTGCTCCAGCTGCTGCATGGGTCCACCGCCGGTGCTCTTCCTATTTGTCACCCTGCTGATGACCACCAGCGCCACAGCCATGTTGTGCGCCGCCATTATGACCGACCACTGGGAGCATGTCACGTGGGACCGCAACAGCCTCGATCGTTACTCCAATCGGTCGGGATTGCACCTGGAGTGGCTACTTGACGACCAGGTGGCCATGCTCAAGCCGGACAAGAGGGGTAAGGCAGACAACTATGACATCATTATTATCTTGGGAAACTCAGTTTTGTCTCCACCCACAGCCGATCATCGCTTCCGGCGCGATTCTGTGTTCCTAGTACCCATGCATGGTGGCATATGGACGCTGTGCATTGATCTGCCCATTCAGCAGCTGCAAGAACTGCGGCGCAATCCCAAGTTTCCTCGGGGTGCTCCACCCTGTGTCAACTACTTGGCTGGCTCGATGGAGAACGCCCGCGGCGAGGAGCAACGTAACGACTGGCAGCACAGTGAGTCACAGGTCACTCTGCAGCCGCATCTGAGTACGTATCCTGGGGCAGTCCGTATATGAATCCCACTCCAGATCCACCTCCGATCTAACTTTCTTGGGGAAATCTCCCGTATTTATTGTTTACACTTTTTGCCATCCTTCTTCGTTTTTTCGTTTAATACAAAACATTATTTTATGTACGCACTTAGCACTAATTGTGATTGTAAACTTACAGACTTACAGAGAATTTTGGTAGAAAACAGCAAACAAATAGTATAAATAGGATCGAGGAATAGAACAGTTGAATGGTGTTGAATGCGTGTGAGTTGGTTTAAGTAGCTGATGTGTGGGGTGTGTGTTGTCTGTGGTTGTGGTTGTGAGTGGGTGTGCCACTGGGCAACTGGAATGTCCCCCCTTAGACAGCAGCCCGCTTAGCTGGCGAGCAGAGAGCTTCGGCCTCCGAGCTGGGCTCCTCGGGCTTCTTGCGCTTGATCAAATGTGTGATGTCTGTGGGCTTGGCCGAACTGCTACTGATGGCCGATGAAGAAGCTGCCGCAGAGCCTTTGGAGGAGGACGATGAGGAGCTGGCGGCTCCATTTGCGGCTGCTGCTGAAGAAGACGACGATGACGAGGAGGAAGCTGCTCCAGCATCCCCACTGCTCATTGGCTTGATGTAGCTATCCAGGGCAGCTCGCACTTCGGCAATGGTCTAAAAGTAATCAAAATTAGTATATATCAACAAAGATAAGACATTTTATGTTCTCACCTGAGCCTGCATCTCTTCGATTTCCTGTATCTTGGCCAAAATCTCCTGCTTGGTCTCCTCCAGATCTAGCATATTATTTCTGTCGCGCTCACTGGGTTCATCCTTGCCCTTGATCTCGGCTATTTCCTCTTCGATCAACGCGCTCGAGTGTCGCAGGGCTGTGGCCCCCTCCTTATTAAGTTGCTGCATCAAATAGGTCAGCCCGATCTTATAGTGCAACTCGGCCAAAGCACGTCGGTTCTGTGTAGGCAGCTCGCCGTGAATTTTCAACGCTTTCTCTTTAATATAAAATTGACATTAGACTTGATATTCAGTACGGTACTGGCCAGTTACTCACCATAATCCTCCCGTGCTGCCTCGAGTATGCCGTTTTCGAACTCAATGTTGGCCAGCTCCGTCTGAACTTCAGCCAAATATGGCAGACCACTTAGACCCTGACGTGTGAATATCTGGGCAGCCGCCTCTAGAATCTCCCAGGCCAACTGCAAACTACCGCTAACTCCTTCTTCTTCTTCTGGCTCCTCCTCACCGGTTGCTCCAGCTCCGTTGGAGCAACTAGCCGTCACTTCACCATTTGATGTGCTTGGACGCTCGTCATCGTTGACGGTAGATCCTCCACCACCATTGCTACTGCTGACCTCATCAACACCAGTGGGTGCCTTTTTGGAGGTCTTCTCCTCGCTCTGAGCTTGCTCAGCTTCCCCAGTGGAGTCGGCCTCATCGGAACCCTCCTTTATGGTATCCAGCTCTTTTCCATTTGTGCTGCTCGCACCATTTGCTGCTTCCTTGGTCTCTTTCTTTTCCTCTTTAATGTCCTCCTTCTTGGACGCACCATCTTCTGCGCCTTCTTCTTCATCGTCGTCCATATCCTCGTCATCATCGTCGGCAGCCTCATCGGGCACATCGATTACTTTGTTCTCATCCAGAGCCATGGCAATCAGAGCCTTTGCATAGCTGCAATTGTAGAAAGCATTACAATATATTAAAGTTAAAGATTCATTATGAGGTGAATGTAGAATTTTTAGGTAAAAAGATTCGTCATACTCACAGCAACAGGGGCTGTCCTAGCTCATCAGCCAGCTCCCCGTACACCTCCTCATATAGCTGGCACACCTGGCTCAGCTCGTCGGCAGCCTCGTCGTAACTCTTCACCAGGAAGTTGCGCGATCCTTGGCTAAACAGCTCCTTGCCCTTCAGTATTTTCTCAGCACGTTCCTGTTCCTCCTTTCCGGTGCCCTCGGTAGAAACCGCTGGAACATTTTCTGGTGTTGTATCAGCAGCTACGGGCTCAACGGCCACTGTCTTGCTGGGTGATGACACATCGGCGGCGGCCGTTGTGACAATTGCTTCGGCTTCAGCAGACATTTTAAGTGGTCAAGTAAATATCTATGGAATAGGAGAAGAGGAAAGCTATGTTTACTAAGCAATTAAATTTAAACAGATCAATCAAATTAGGTTTAGATTATACTTTTGCACATATTCAAACTTTGTAGTGTTTATACGCTTTCTTTTATTCTCCTAATTATCCTTATTTTATGTACCCCACTGTCATCCCTTCATTCCACACCCCAATCTCCTTCGTAGGTTGAGCCCTAGACGTCACTTTCGATGTATGTAGAAGACCACGAATATTTATTTTTTTTAGAAATTCTTTTAAAATCTATTTATACGCACCAGCACAAGCTTTGAGCACCACCCTCCTCCAGCACCAGCACAAGCACCAACACCTCCTGATTCACCTCGATTCATTTCACTTGGCTTAATAATTTAGCTCCAAGCTGTCGCACATTTCACAAGTCATTACCGCAAATCCCATTTGCAGCAGCTCAAAGATGTGGGTGCCCGCAAATCCCCGAAGCACATCAGATAAAAAAAATGAAAAGCAAAAGCCAGGCACCAAGAATTCCCGGGAGCAGCAGGGACAGGGACCAAGAAGTGTCCTTGTATCGGCTATATAAAGTAATTACCACAACAGCAAACCGAGCTTGCCTCCAGTTTTCTATATTGTCAATACTGGTCGGTCTCCTGCTCCCCGAAGATGAAACATGTCCATGTCGAGAGTTGCTTGCTCATGGCAGTAAGCTTAAGGCTGGTGGATCGGGCTTAGGGAGTTTTCAATATGGGTCAACGTGTGGGTGACTTGGTTTTCACCCAACCCCCATCCCCATCCTCCCATCCACTCCTGCCAGCGTTCTAAAAATCGCAATTGCCACTTTGGCATTTTGTTGTACTTTTTATGGTGTTCCTGTGGAACCAAACACATGCACCCGCATGCGATTTAATTGCTGTGGTGCTATTGGGTAATTGGTTTTGCAGTTGCCCAGATTGTGAGCGGAAATTGGAGAACTGAGCTGGGGCCACAATGAATTTACGGGCGGACATAGCAAATGCGATTAAGTTTGTACCTATACTGGGAAATCCTTAGAGGAAAAACAACTTTAAGCTTGTTGAAAGGTTGCATTTATGGCATTGGTTCTAATCCAGGTCCTTTGCCAAATCCTATTTTCTGAAAGGATTTTCTATTTTAACAACTATGTATGCTTGATCGATCATTCAACTTTTCAACTAAGCTTTCGCTCGCCATCCTCTCCTCACTCTACACACCTTGTATTATAGTCCCTGACATATGCATTTTGATAATCAATTACTAGAAAACTTTAATTAAATTTAAATCTGTGATTTTCCCCAGGAATGCAAAATCTCTCCATATCCTGCTCATTGGTCTGCCTCATTATCTTGGGCAGTGCTGCTCTCGTGGGAGCCTTTGGCGTTTGCCAGCGCCAAATTAGTGCCATTCTGATCACAGGGGTGATGTATCTCCTGGCGGGTGAGTATCATAAAATATTCCCCTAGTACCCTCTACAACTAACTTATTTTTATAACCCAACAGCTCTCTTCGCCCTCTTTACACTGATGATCATCCACTTTAAACGGCAGCAGGGACGTCCAATGCTGGACAGCGACTACGATGGAACTGTGGATGGGATAGTGGCGCGACCGGGAGGCGTGGCTATCATGGCTAAGCCGCTTCTGGGAGCACGCATCTTCCTGACCTCGTGGAGTCTAGACCTGGGCTGGGGCGGGGTGGTGCTTTGCGCCATAACCTCGGTACTGTGGATTCTGCTCTCCAAGATCATGCGATACAACCCATTCTCAGCGCTCATGATTTAGCTAAACGCCTTGCCGCTCGGCGTCTACGGAGCCAGCTACGGAAGTCTGGGCAGCTGCGAAAGCTACGGCAGCTATGGAAGCACCCACACCCACAGCGGCACCAGTAGTGGCGGCAGCTCCAGTTTCCTCCTGGCAGCGGTCTCGTCGACGCGGCAAGCGGAGCACCGGGGCAAGGGAAAATACATCCTATAGACAAAGCCCTGACCCGTTCTCACTAACTAACTTACCGGATTTTCACTCTTACTTAACTTATTTGGGATAAGCTTCCGAGGGTAGTAAACTTTTGGATTTTGGAAGACTGATTCGTCTTTTTTATAGTTTAAGTTTAAAATCATTGAGTTCTTTATAATATAAAGACATTTCATACAGGTTCAAGTATTTAGAAACTTTAAAACCATAAGTGAACGCCTTCGGAAGTTCACCCCCTTATCCCTATGTAAAACCCATATTAGTTAGCTATGTTGGAAATGTACCAAACTAAAAAACTCAATTGCCTTGTTCTTTATATATATACACACACACAACTTATACAACTTAAACTTATACTTATTCTTATTGTACGGTGTACTTAACTTAACTTACTATAACTTAACCCAATTGTAAATTCAATTTACACTCTCTCTTTACAAGTAAACCTTTTTGTATACATTCGATTTGACTCAAATTCTACACGACTCTAAGACACCCCACTTAACCCTAGCTAAAATGTGAGACATTTATTTACACGAGACGAGCGAAATGGGAATCGGAATTCCCCTCAGAGGCTTTGGCTTTAAAGTGCTTTCTAGTAACAGTTCGCCTGCATAGCGTTAATCCAGCCCCAAAACTTGTTAATTGGGTGTGACAGCAGTTGCTTAAAATTAGACAAACTAACTGGAAGCTGACCGAAAATCAGGTAGAAAAAAGAATAGTTCTGCTTGCGATATTCATAAAACAGTTGGCTTGGAGAGGATCAAACCATGAGATGGTGCCTCAGCTGAAGTTTAGGTTCCCCTATTCATTACCCTCCCCCATCCAGTTGGTTTAGTAGAATTTTAGGGCTTGTCATGAACAGCATAAAGAATTGTAGAACGAGTACTTATAGAGCTCCAGGGGTACAGCTGAACGCAAAGCATAATGTAATGAGATCATTTAGTGCTTTAGAACAAATGGTTTACAAAACGTATTGTACTTGTATAGAAGCCACCACAAACCAAACAAAATGCTAAAGGTATAAAAAATGTATTTTTATGCAAACGCTTTGCCTTAAAACCAAAACAAAACAAACAACAAAACAAGAACTTATTTAAATACAAGATCATTTCTTTTAAAAAGTTTACCAGAACTGTGTTTTTTTTCTCTTTTTGAAGTGTTTTTGGTAAGTAACTAGAGATACAATATACATTGCTTTACAGCGCATTTCTCCAGGTTTTATATTCTTTAAAATTGAAACGTTGGTCTATAAATAACCAATGGACACACATATTTATGGAATTTCATTTAGCATTCAATTCTGTAAAAATTGTATTGCGAATTTTTGCAGGCGGGAAGGTTCATTAACATTTGTGGAGCTGCTGTGGAAACAAATTAAGCAAACATGCAAATGAACTCGCAAAAAAATTGGCGAGAAAACGCGACACTTTTGAGAGCTTTTGTGTGAAAAAAAAAAACAGAGACACCGAGAAAAGAGAGAACGAGGATCATTAGCAGAGATAAGAAAAACACAGCTGGTACTTGGAAAACGCAGAGGGAAAACACCATGTGTGTATTTTGTTTTCGCGCGCTCAAGACAATTACTAAATTCACACACTGCTCGATGGCCCAGCAACAAATTGCGATTACAAAACAACGCAAAAAGGTTCATTCACCTGTGTGTGCGTTGTGTCTGTTAGGCGCTTTACGTGTTTATGCGTGGCCAGAAGTGATGAATATCACTTATACTCCTTAATTCCCAAGTTAGTCTATTCCATTTTAAAAGTCTTTATAGAATTAAATTTAATCTAACATATGAACTTCCTAAAACATAAGAAATGTAAGATTTTTCTTACAAAAATTGTTTTTGCTAAATGGTTTTTAATAAGCAATATCTGTTTTAAACATACCATTTTAAAAAGTAACTGCTATTATTTAGCAAAAACTGCCTAATTTAAGAAGCAAAAACTTTCAAAATCACGATCAAAACGAATGTCGCATAAACGCTTTTGCAAAAATAAGTGTGAGTGTATGTGTGATTGCCCGCCATTCGCCCGCGCCAACAAACACAAACACACATACACGTAAGCCGACACCAATACCGGCAAAGCGCAATTGGCCATTTAGTTAGCGCAAATAACCACGGCACGTTTCGCATACTTACAGCGAAACAGAAATTGCGACAATTAATTAATGTTTAGCACAAACAACATAGTAGCAAGAGCAATAGCAACAACACAAACAAACAAAAAAGGCCAAAACGAAATTCGCAAATTCGCGTGTCGCTGTTTTGGCTGCGTATGTGTGAGTTTGTGTGCCTCCATCGGCATCTAACTGTAAAAATTGTGCTTAAACTTACTTGTTAATCGATTAACAGTACTGCTATCAAGGCAATGGGCAGTGAAAAGAGTTGTATGTCTTCCAAAATTCACTCTAGTCAGTTAAAAACCGGGTAAAATGGAAATATTCGCCAATAAAAATTGCAGATCCCGCGAAATGCTGAAGAAATAGCGATAATGTGACTGCACTGTGGGCGCTATAATAAACCGTTGAACCCCACAAAAATACTATGAAAAATACTAAAGTAAATTTGGAACTACCAACTTGCCTCAACCTCCAATAGCCATAAATTGAGTATTTCCACTATATGGTAATTTTAAATTTATTTAAATGGATATAACCAACTCATTACGAGAAATTAATACTTTCTTTTATTGTTTGTCCAATAAATTGTTTTTTTATAAATTTACCCCTATGGAAATGCTTGCATCAACTTATTTGCTGATGTGACTTAAAGTTGCAGTGTGAACATTCGATACTATCGTGAGTGGTTGGCCCAGCTCTAGCTCTTTGGGACATGCTATTCTCACTTCGAATTTCAAATCGGAGGAGAAACGTTCGGTCCGCGCGTGTCAAAACGAACAAACGTTAGCAAGACTTCGATTTCGTAGTGACATTTATTGGAAACCAATTGGACTTAAAGTGCAATACATAAACTAGCCAGTGTAACGCGTTTACAATTAGTATTCAATACGAGCTCCATTCATAAATGTTGTGGGCGTTGGAACCACCCTCCAAAAAGAATTGTTAAATATTTGTACACACCACCACTAACGGAACGCACGCACTTACATATTTTACATTGCGAGTGGCGCCAACATATGTAAAGCAGCGATAAGGAAAACAACCCAGAAAAGGAAAGCAGGAAAAAAACAGAGGCCCAATTACTGTAAGTGAATGCATTATGGTATCATATGAATATTTCGAAGTTCTATTGATTTTTGGGGTTCAAAGTTTTTGCCGCCTTAGCCGTGTTTTTGTCGCCTTTTGTTTTGTGCTTTTGTTTCCGTGTGTGTACGTGTGTGTAAGTTCGCCTTGATTTTTCCATTCAACTGGGCTTACGTCTTCATACTCCTGTTTTTTGTTTCCCCAACATCAAATTGTGGGTGGGGTGGGTGGCAGTTTGGTTGGTTGTTTGTTGATTCACCTGTCGTCTGTGTTTTATTTTCGTTTTCAACTTCACGGGCAGCTGCAAAATCTCAGCTGCTCCAACAACAGCAACAAAGACGACAACAACATGTCAGCTTTCGTTAGTGCAATAACCGGTTTTCAAGCTTTATCGTATTTCGAAACTGTGCTAATAACTGGTGTTGTTTTTCATTTCGGCATATTTTATCGCTTTGTTACCCGTATAATTATGAACTAAGTAATTCAAAAAGCTGTGAAAAATAGCGATAATTTTTAAATGGGGAGCACTTGCTAATTTATTGGATTTTGGCCAGGAAGTTCATTTTGACGCAGTCAAAAAGTATGGCAAAAACTTTTCCACTTATAATGTCAGTCATTCATTTTTACCGTTTCGCCTGCCAACAGGAGTTGCATATGATGGCAGCTTACTCCTTCTCTGTCGCACTTACTCCTACTATAACACTGAAAAAAAAAAGTTGAAAGTTGGAAAATGTTAATAAAGAAAAACCACCTTTTTCATCCTTTAAAAATCAGGGAAAAGGGAATTAAGTCAGTTAAGAGAGAATCAAGGTTCCTTAAACTTAAAATTCCAACTTTTCTCTCAGTGTAGCTAGCATAATTTCACTTGGAGCATTTTGGACATGCAGCAGGCATTTTCTGTGGGCAATACTGATGTCCTGAAACAAGCCGAAAGCACTCGTTCCAAGGATAACAGGCCACAAAATCGATTCTCCACGAAGACCAATACCTTGGAGAAAAGCCGACACGTGATGGCGCCTGGCTGGGAATTACTGAAAAGGGGGAAAAAAGAGGGCATGGACACGGAATAGGAATAGTATGGGTGGGATTGAGCATGCCAATGGGAACTTTCAACTCGTTCTGCCCTTTACAGAACTTCTTGCACAAACTGCGGCAAAATTCAAACGGTGTTGTTCCCCGGATATAAGCTGTAAATTAAGGAGGACAACCGGGTCAGAGAGATATTTTGGGGGAACTAAGTTTAGAATCCAGGGTCTAGATGCATGTGGTAAACAATAACCAGATAAGGTATCTAAGATTATCTAAGCTTTGGCCTTGTAAGGGCTGATTTCCAGCTGAGAACGGAATTACTTGCCACACTTCTGCTGCGATTGCATCAGTATGGTTACCATGTTTCAGTAGACCGACCTTGTTAGTAAACAAATTGGTTTGAAAGATAACTCATTTATGTTTTTTTCTAAGATTCCTAACACAGGGAAATTCAAACATGCAAATTAGAAGAACATGCCGGATATAAGCAGTAAATTCAATTTAAAGTTTAGTTCTTAGCTTTTAAGAATAATTTAGAAATTGAGAGTTGACAATATGCTAAAAACTACCCGGAAAGGAAATTGTAGAAAAGTATGACTCATCTTTGGGGTGGCTTTATGTCCAATGCAGGGGCTTCCCAGCCAATATATATTTTACATGCAATACCATTTTCCTAATCTAATATTAATGCCCTTTTACGGCTAAGACTTTCTCAAAAAAAGATGTCATTATCATCGGCATACCCCATTCAGACATTAAGTGTACCTTGACATCTCAAAGAAAATCACATTTTCATAGTATCCCATATCATCGTTAATCTTTCGCTTGAAAAACTTTTAGCAGTTCCCTTTTTTCATATACTCCAAGCCATATGAATCAAACTCTTGATGCTGCTTTAAATTTTTCAAGAAACTTTAGCACTAAAACATATCACAAATTCCTTTCCTTTCGGCGCCCGACAAAGTCCCCTGGAATCCAATCACTTTCGCCTGGCAACCAGAGAAAATTCTCAACTCTTCTTGTAAGTAGTGGGGAATGTAGTGGTGTAGTTGGTGGCTATGGTGGCTGCTGCTGGTGTAGAACTCCCAGAAACTAACTTTGAACTATGCATGCACATTGGGAAAATATTTAGCTTCACCATTTTATATTTTCTGCCGGCTTCTTTTTATTTCGTGCTGCCGAGGCACACAGACTCCTGGCTGCCGTTTGGTTTTTTCCCAGGGGATGGGGGTTCGCATGAAGTTGTTCTGTCTGGACTCCTCCATCCACAACTGGCGGGTTTCCCAAAGTCCTCATCCACCGCCACCTCTTAGTTCAGCGTCCACCATCCTTTGTTGTCTCAATGGAAACGGAGTTTGGCGAACATGGCGCTGCCGTTGGCTCTTTTATGACGCAGTTGGTCGGGCAAGTTGAAGTTTGTTTGCTCGGCCGGGCCTGAAAGAGTTCATTCTTCTATAATGCATTAGCCCAGCGACTGAAGAAGTTATCTCAGTATAGAATTTCCCTGTTTGTTTAAAGCCAACCAGGGACAATAAGTGGCTTCTCATTCTACTATACAAAACCTACAAAAATCCAAGCTCAACCGAAAAAGTTTCCGGCTCATTAAAACCAATTTGCCTGGGAACATTTATAGAACTTTTTGCCTTTGATGAGAGGCAGCCATTGGCGATAGACCAGCCATAAACAAAAATAAATAGCAATTTGCCAATTTCCAATTTCCAATTAATCAACAGAGTCAACAGCAGCAAAAGTTCATTGAATTTGCAGCTGTGTTTGGGGATTTCGGTAAATGGATTGGTATTAGAAGGGGGCATATCTGTGGTTTAAGGTTTCTCGTCCAGCATGCTCCGTTTCTCCGCTGACTAATCAGCCGGGTGATATGACTAAGCGAACCACCGAAGCATTTGACCACCGCACGAGACGGTATAAAATTCAAATTAAAACTAGGAGACAGGGAGGTGAGTGGGTGGTCTGACAGCCGATCGGTCACTTAACCCGCTGCAAGGTCTTGTACAGTAAAAGCTCCTTTGTATCTACATCTTTTAAATGTCATTCTCTCTAAAAAAGACTGAACTTTAATATTTGATTTTTCTAGCCATATATGGGCAATGAACTTTTATTGTAGAAAATTAAAATCCCTTTTTATGACATTCTACTGTACAGTGGAAACCAAATCACCTGACAGACCCAGCAAAGTCCGTCAGCGGGCAGCCATTTGACACCAAAGACTGCAATTTTATCTTGAGGTAGCTTGAGGTGGGGTAAAGATTTCACGGGTGGACAGGAGCTGTGGGTTGTGGATGGAGGGTGTCAGGAGCGTATCCGGGGCAGACAAAGTGGCTGTTTGGTTGCTCAATTGCTGCGGGGCAGTCGAGGAGTTGGTGTTTCTTTGTTTGCCACAGTTCTTTGGCCCGGGCCTTGACTTCGTTTGAATTGTCTTTGTTGCCATCAACATTTAATTTAATATGTGAGTTGAGTGCCCGGTTCTTGCCTCAAAAAACACGATCCCCCCTTCATCCTACACCAACTGGTTAGAGTTTTTTTTATTTTTCTTTAGATTTGCATAGAGTGTCAACCCCCAGGAGTTTGAATTCGACTTATTTGTATGCCTGACAACAAGTCTTTACGAAAGGCCAAACCCAAGACCAATCCCCAGGCCAGACAGTCTTAGTTGAGGCTTCCCATTTAATTTATGCATGCAGGATTAGTCGTATATAAGTCCTACATAAATCGACGACAGCTGTCGCTACCTGGCTAACATGTAAAGGCTTCAATTCAATTTATGCAAATTATTTGGTGGGTTTGCCATTTGTGTGTGGGGCTAGTTGCTGGGATCAGACGGTATTATGTTTTCCGCCAGATGTTTGTGCAAAATCAGAAGAAATCTACCAATTAGTAAATGGAAACAGGAAGAGCTTTTCCATAATTGTAGTGGCTTAAAAACAATAACATAAATGAAAATTGCTGACAGCTGAATGAGGGTAGATAATGATTAAAAATATATATCCCAACAGGGTTAAAAAGTAATCCGCTTTTATACCACACTTAACCCAAAATAATAGAGCTGATGGGCACTCCTTTGATAAAGGTTTCCTAGGCCCGAATTCTCGCCTTGCCCCACTTTTAGTTTATTGTATTCGGCTTGTGGCAAGTTCTTCAAATATAGTTTTTTTCGTGGCTGCAAACCGGGCCAAGTAGCGCGACCCCAAAAAGGGGGAAAACAAGGCAGAACGACATGCAACATGCGGAAATGCAGTGGAGGAAACTGGGTGGGATTGGGTGGCCTTAAGTGAATCCCAGAGTGTAAAGTGCACATGGAAGGCACATAAAACAAAGGATGTTTCTCAACTTTTGACATACATTTAACTCCCCAAAAGGGATCTTGACTTTCCATTTCATCGCGCAGTCAATTGAATGGGACTGAGATGCATTTGGAATAGTACATCCATTGCCAGACTTGGGGAGACTTTGAAGTGAGTCCGATGAAAGACCCCATCAATGCAAATTGTTGCAACAGAAAATGAGGCGTACCACGCACAGCCACAATGCTGAACACCCCAATTAAGGTGGCAATTTATAAGAAATGTTTCGGGAACCGGGAAAGAGACCCCCCTTTTACCTCGCTCCTTTGTTTCCCCACAGAAATCACGTCATGTTCGGGGTGAAAGAACTCCTTTGTGATTGTTTTTCGTGCGGTTTACATTATGTAAAAAATTTTAATTGCCACATTTTAATGAAGCTCCAGGCCCTGTTGGATACATTTCGACCCGTTGGAGTATTTTTTCGCCCTTGGGAGGCGGGTCTAATGCATTATTTATGCAGCTGACAGCTTGTCCAATGAGTCAACACCTGTTCAAATACTGGTGGAAGGTTTAAGCCAAAAGCTTTTCAGTTTATTGCATAGAATTTGGGTTTGGGGAATAAGTCCTTAACCCTCTACTGTATGTTGTAGATGCATGCCATGCATTAGCTACTTAATATTTTATTTTCATATGACTTGATAAGCCCTGGAGAGGAATGGAAAAGATTGCAAATGAGGAAATGAAAATTAAGTGTTTATTTCTTTTTCCAAGATTGCCTTGACTGCGGTTGCCTCGCCACTTGACTAGGGTCTGTGGTGTCAAGAACCGGTTTTATTTCTATATATATTCTACTTATAGTAAATCATAACAATAACTATAAAGTCTTTGAACTATTTGAGGGAAATTAACTTTGTTCTGAGTACTAAAAATTAGTCAAAACTTTGGTTTATCACTATTTAAGTTTATTTAGCTTTACTGAGGCTATAACTTATCAAGAAATGAGGAGGAATTACGCGCCAAAAGCAAGATAAATGGGTTGCTTAAAGTATTTGAAATATTTGGCAGCTCACAAACAAGCAAATAGCTCTATTTTATCTTCAGCTTAACGGCCTTCAACTTTCTTTCGAAGAAAAAAACACGCAATGAATGCAACAAATTTTCACTTTCGTGTCTCCGCTTTTATAGCTTCTTGCTGTTTGTTGTTTGTTGTTTGTTGTCTGGCCCAAACAGAAAGACACAAAAAAGCAGCACTGAGCAGCTGCACTTGACTTCTGCTAAGGCTTTAGCTTTGGCTTTGGCTTTGGCCCACCGAACTGCACCTTGAGATTCCGCAAGCTACTATATAGCACATAATCTGCAGACAACTTGTTGTCACTTGGTCGTCTCGCTTTCAAAATGCTTCAAGTGCATCCAAAGTCACAGAGTCACGGGTGTGTTTGCATTTGGTTTGAGCTCAGACCTCCAAAGAAGTCTTGTTTACTCTAGGCTTTAGCACTTCTCCCTCTTGAATCAACACACATTTTAATATGCACAAAGCCGAGAGAGCACAAAAGAATCTCCATGAGGTGGAGCAGGGAAACCAACCTTCACATCTAATTAACCCAGTGGGTAAACAGAAATGCCGCACATCTGATTAAATCAGAAAAAATACATTCATGATTTTGGAGCTGACAGGAAATGCATTCTAAATCTGCGCCAAATTAATCTTTTTAAGCAAAAAATTCTCTCAGACAGTCGGATGGGTGTCAGCTATTAATACATGGAAACAGAAAACTATTTATAGTTGGAGGAAGCCCAAATGGTTTATTTTGGTTTTCGGGCATAAACAAAGTTCGAACGACTCACGAGATCTGTGTGCCACATTGGAAAATATTTACTCAGTTGATTTTATACACTATACTGTGTTTTGCCCCGCCCAGATCTTGCACAATGATCTCACAATACCTCGTTATAGTTTCCACATTTCCACGCTTGATTAGTTTCGAGTGTTGAAAATTTCGATGGTCCCGAAATCCCATCGAAAAGTGTCGATTGATTGCGGTACACGCCTCAGAAACTGATTGTTGATTACTGGGGGAGTGTCTTCTAGTGACACGAATCATTTGATAGATGTTTTTATATATAGAATGCAATTTAGAAAATAGTTTAAAGCCTTTCTATTAATAGTTAATCTTGAAAAAACTTTAAATATATAAAAGAGAGGCTTGCTAGTTTGTTGTTTATTGGCTTTTATCCTGATGATTTTATTTGTCGGTCAAAGTACTGAGTTTTTTATTACCTATTAATTTTCCGGCACGTGCTGTCAGGTGGACAATAGCCAGATCTTAAATATTATGTGAGCACCCACAATAATGGCTTGTTATTTGAGGAACCAGCTGGGTGAATTGAGAAGCCAGTAAGTCACAGGCAGATGCCCTTTGTGTGTCAAGTGATGATGATCTTGATGATGACTCTGATTGACGTAGATGCGCAAAGAGCTGGCATAACTGGAGCAGTGGCAGATGGAGACTACAAAACGCTTGTGGCTGAGCATGGATGTTGGCTCTTGCGGTGCAGATGTAATCTCTTTGGCTGCACATTTAATCGCAAATTGCACATTGTTGCGGCCAAATTGAATTGTTTTGTGGCAGCGTGGAGGTGGGCTTTTCAATCATCCGGATTGATTGCCCTGCACCGGGATCGAGTGCACACAGATGGTTGCGCCCCAATGCACCCACATATAGATATATGAGACTCCAGTACTCCTTACTTCCCTCGCCCACTGAACGACTTCGTCTCGCAGCACTCTGACTTTTCAATTCATTTGATTTGTATCTTGGAAAAGGGGATATGGTAATGGCAATTCTCCCCCTATTGCACTTAATGGTTATTTGGGTTAATTTGATTTTAATGCCTTGCCACAAGGAATGCGGGTGTGGTGGCAATCAGATCAATGCCCAACAATTGCCAAGAAATCGCGCATCTTGTGGCCATCAGCAGATTTCAATTGAATTACATTACTGGCAATCGTTGATTGATTCGTGAGTGAAGTCCAAGTTCAACGAAACACGATCAAGAGAGAGCAATTGGTTCAAGGTTCAAGAGATATTCGTATGCCTTTTAGGAGAAGGAAGGAGGAAGGCGTTCCAGCCCACACTATTCACCGTTAATCGACATAGTTTTCAATGGACCACTCATTTGTCACTTGAAGTGCTCATGCCATAAATTAAAGTGGTCGATTTTATGTTTTTGTTTTATATACTTTAAGTATTTGTGAAAATTTTAGCACCATAAACGAGCCTTCTTGAATAATTGCCCCGCCAAACTACTTAAAGTGCCGAGTCTTATTGTTGTTTATCATTTATATAAATCGTTTTGTGTACAGCGTCTAAAGAAAAGCATCTCCACAGCAATTGCTGTTGAAGATAAGCATTTATTGTGCTTGCAAACCATTGTAATCTCGCCTAGAAGAAGGTTGTTGTTGGCTGGGCATTGTCTATGGGAATGGATCAGGTAGTTAAATGCTCTAATACGGCAATTAAAAGTCGTCTGCTATGGCGACCGTGAGTTAGATAATTTCATAGCAGACCTGGTAGTGTTTCTTGCCAGCATTCGTCTCTTTTTTTAATTCACCCTTATATGATATCATCTTTCCGTTGAAACCGAACTTGAAGCTGTCAGAATTTGAAAACCCAACATCTGCTGGAGTTGCAGGTCGCCCCAGGCAGTTGGTTTCTCCATTCATTTATCATCAACCCAATAGTGATGCGAATTATATATTGAAAACCCTGTATTAATTAAAGCTATGCTCTGAAAGGTGTTTAAAACTTTCTGATTTTACAAATAAATATGAAAAATCTACCAAAATATCAAATTATTCGATGATTTAAGCACTGAGGTTTATAGAATAATTAGATGTTAAATTAAGATTTTAAGTTCAACAACCAAGAGGTCAAACTGCCATCACTGGTTCAGCACACATGCAGAGAGTTCTGCTAAAAGCTATGTCATCCGAAGCCCGTAGGAAGGATGGGATTTCTGTGTCCGCATCAGTGTCTCGTGCATTCGCAATGAGTTGACTGAAAGCCCATTCAGGGTGGGATTCCACTTCCCCTGACGTCCTGCTGATGCTCCTGATGAGCGAAGGGTATTGTGTGGCCAGGGGAAGGATCCAGTGCCTGCGGCAACTAAAAAGCACATCCCGTCATTAGGAGCAGGCAGTTAATGGATGAAGGACGGGCGGAGTAATGTCAGTTATGCGGCTGCCACTGCAATTTGCTTGTAATTTTTATCGTGTTTGCCCTGCCCCCATTTAATTGCATAATTTATTGATAATTAAATGAAGTTCTAAATTAAACTCTCTTTGACAGGGCAGGCAGGCGGCTGGAGTCGTTTGGAGTGAGTCAACTCCCACAACAATTGCCGCTGATGAGGTGAACGAACTAGTCGGCTCTAACAGCATCCATTTTTAGCCCCATCCTCCATCGTCAACAATTAAGACAACCCTAATTGGAGGCCCAGAGCCGCTGGCGAGGAGGAGGGAGCATCTTCGCTCAAGATGCCGTCACTGCGCCAGAAGGTCACCACTTACTTCCGCCAGTTGAGCTTCATCGCGGAGCCTCGCGAGGGTCGTCGGCGGGCTAGCGAGCACGAGGATGACGATGGAAGCTTTATTACCAAATATCTGGAGGGGTAAGTAAATAGAAAACTGAAAAAGCAGGACAGTTGCAAAAATATTTACCCTTCTTTTTTCGCCCACAGGCGGATGCAGCGACAGTTTGTGGACGGTCCAAAGATATACAATGGCCAAAATCCCACAGACATGCCCATTCTGAAGTTAAACCCCTACGAGGCTGGAACCTGCTCTATAACAGCTGCCTGCACAGGACCGGATGAGGGTCTCACCGGAATTAAGCGCTCAAAACTCCATTTGAGCACCAGCTTTGCGGATGACATTGACTTCATAGATACGCAGCAGGAGAACGATGACAGCTATGGGGTCAGGAAGAGTACTCCGCCAGTTCAGGCGACAACACAGAATCCCACGCGACTGGCCAGTAAATTTGGACGCCCGCCGAATGGATCTAGGAGACAGAGCAGCACTGAGCAGCCATCCGGATCCGCTCCGGCGTCAGGGATGCGTTCCCGCAAGAATTCCAAGAGCAGCATAGCCAATCTGGCCGCGGCATCTACTAACAGCGATGTTGCTAAAGCCAACAGCGATCAGAACAACAGGAACCTGTTGAATGCAAAGACTGAGGCTTCGGCGGACGGTGATTCCAACTCGGAGCGAGAACGTCTGCTCCGCGAGGCGGTGAGCAACCAGGATGGCTCTGCACCAGCTGCAGTAGTTGCCGGCGTGGAAAATTGGCGCATGGAGTGTGATTTTGCATATGGAATCTCGGTGTCCCTCTACGAGACGAACATGCTGACTAAAGAACCCATGGGCAATCCCATAGCTGACTGCTACGGAATGGTTGTGCGCGGTGATTCAGCTGCTATGGCCATGGCAGATGGTGTTAACTGGGGCGATGGAGCTCGCCTGGCCGCACGATCCGCTGTCCACGGCTGCCTAGACTACCTGGATCGGGCGGTCTTCGGTCAGGCGTTGGAGTGCCGTGCCACCACAACCCAGGAGGTTTTTGTGAGTCTGCTGCGAAGTCTTTGGGAGGGACACGGTTGTATCCTAGAGGTTGGAGGAGCACTGTCTACGCTGACAATTGCCGTGGTGCTACCGCTGGACGGTGCGCCGGGCAAATATGTCGTGTGCTCGTGCAACGTGGGCGATTCCCTGGGCTATGTGTACTCCAAAAAGCACGGAGTACGGGAACTGACACAGGCTTCCCACGATATCAGTTCCATGCGAGACATGCGTGACGCCTTGGGCGCGTTGGGACCTGCGGATGGCAACAAACCAGAGCTGAGCAATCTGACCTTCTCGATGACCTGCATCGAAAGCGGAGACATAGTGTTTCTTACCTCGGATGGCATTAGCGATAATTTCGATCCCGTTGTGGGCAAGTTCGCTGAAGCTTGGACACCGGATGTTAAGCTTCAGTCCTCGGGACAGGGAAAACCCGCCGTCCTAGCACCCAAACGACAGAACAAAAGTGCATCCGCGATATATGCCCGCCTTCATCCCTCGACGCCGCCCACGCGACCTGCTCGACAGGCCAAAGCGGGAAGTCCACCCAGTAATGCGCCCAGCCGACCAAAGTATATGCGTTCCCAAACGCTCATTGAACCACGCCAGGGATTGATATCGCCTCCACCGCCATCTGTTGCGCCCCAGCGCATTCCAAAATCCATTTCTGGTTTACCCCTGGTGACCGGCCCTCAGAGGCATGCTCTCACTCTGTACCGCTTGGAAGATTTGCTCAGCTACGGTATTAACGGAACTTTCTCGCCCTGCGTTTCGGCCCGAAGACTTTGCCACTTGCTCATTGATTTCGTAAGAATGATAACTTCCGCCAGGAGAAAGACCCTGGAACAAAGGGAACTCTTCTATAAACTAGCTACGGGTCCGGATGGCGCCAAGCGGGAGGTGCAACTGAATCGAATGCAACATCGGGCTGCTAGGAAGAGAGTGGTGGACAGTAGTGCCTTTGTAGCACTGCCCGGAAAACTGGATCATGCCACTGTGATGGCCTACACTGTGGGCGGTGGAGAGGATCACAGTAATGGGAACGATGGTGGCGATGGAGGAGCTATTTCTCCTGTACTGCAGTCCAAGGAGTTCAAAGAGACGAATTTCTAAGAAGAGAAGGAAACGCTAGACTGGAGACTAAGCTTTTTATACATTTTTTCTCACTCACATATGGGTAGTTCTATCTTCTATGTACAGACAGTTATCTTTAGGGTCTATAATAAATTTCAAGTTTATGTTTTTGGGTTTTTGATTAGATAGTTACGCAGAAAGTGCCAATTATTTGCTTGTTTTGTTATCTTAAAGAAAATAGAACGTAAAATACATCAATCATATTGTTAGATATTCGCCAAATATCATATATTTAGTTCGACTATTTAAGCATATTAGTTTTTACTTTCATAATTTCAAAGTCAATAAATTTTTTATTAGATTAAGTTATGTAAGACCCTAAAAGAGAATGGTTTATATATTTTACACAGAAGTACCCATATGCACACATATATATATTTATATAAACACTGACATACATAAATAGTGATATATCTCACATGTAACTTTAATATTCATAGAGCTTTTGTTTAAGTTTGTTGATTTGAATTCGGTATTCTCATTTGTCAGCCATAGTTTTTTAGCCATTTATTTGTAAATTGCAAACGACAGAAATGCCTCAAATGTTTTAAACTACCAAAAAGAATAAGGAAATACACAAAAGATGTACATCGTATTTTTACACTCTCATTCGTAAATGTCACTTTTACACACAGATGCTACAATGTGTATTTACCTACCAGCTGTCTCACACAATTTTAAAATATATAAAATGTGGTAGCGTTTAAACTTGGTAACGCACAGCTTAAGTTGCAAAGTGGCCTGCGCCAAAACGGGCCTGAGCAATAAATATTTGAATAAACGCATTGGAAAATTGCGCTTTTACAAACACCATAAAGCAGTCGTTTTATTTGAATGAAACCATCTACTCAATATGCATTTTATTATCTGTGTAAAACCATCTCGAAATTACAGGTCAATATTTAATCAAGTCTTCAAACGCTATAACATACTCATAATTGCACAGAATTGTAATACAAAAATTGTTCAGTTCCTTGTCAAGGTTGAAAAAGCACAAACGCAGGATAAGCCGGGCAATAAATCCGTAAAAGATTCATGCACACAAGAATATATAATCTCAGCGAATATGGATAGAGTTCTTACAAGCTCATTTCTCAGCTGTTTCGCATTCGTAGGAGTAATTTGGCAATAGCCTGAGCCTGTACGGGTGAGGCATCTTTTATTTGCTTGTAAAGAACCTCTACACTGCGCAGTGTTTGGGGCTGCAAGGAATTCAAACTTATAACAAAATGACAATGGAAATGAAAAGTGGAACATACCAATGTCTTTACATCCAGTTGTGCTTGTGCCTTGTTGGCAAGAAGCCATAGATTCACTGCCAATTGGGAGATAGTTTCCCTCTCCAAGTCAGCGTATCGCACAATCCTTAGAAAAAGTTCCAAGGCTAGCTCTGCTTGCGATCGCTGTTGGTGGGCTACTCCCAATGATTTGAGCTGCAGCAGGATGGCATCAACAACCTGAACACACAAATTGTTTACCTCCTGCAAAAATTTGGGATCGTGGCCATACAAATCGTCATTGGACACCACTAAAAAATCAAGATTCATTTATAAAGGAAAAGGTATGCTAATTGCAAATCCTACCTCCTTTTATGTGATAGGGAAACTTTTCTAGGCTCTGCGTATAGAGCATGTCGAGGGAATGCAAGTAGATGATACTTGGCGCCGTACTGTCCGTTTTGAATTCATGCCTCCCAACCACGTCTAGCAGAAGTCGAAGGAAATACAGGACACCCTGCTCCGGACTATCCGGAACTACAATCAATGTGGCCAACATATTGCACATGTACGATACCAGGAATCTCTCTAGGCTACGAGGCTTTCCATCGAAGTCCACAGTGGCTGCGGGCAGCTCATCAACCAATTGCAATGCGGCCTCAAAGCAAGCATCAGCTGTGATAGAGTATGAAATGATGAAGAAATACATTTTGATTTCATACTAACCTTGCCCCAGGCAGAGATGCTGCAGAGCCAGTTGACCGCACAGCAAATACAAATTCATTTGCTGCTGGACAGCTCCAATGCTGGGAATGGTAATGAAGCAGTAGGCAATACAGGCCTTAACGAATCCTGTTGATTTTGAACGATTTCGGGTGGCTAATTTGCAGGCTGCATGAACCAAGGTCACATAGACTGCATCCAGATTACTGAACGTGCCTCGTGCCTCTACATAAAAACTAAGTTGCTGCTCCAAGTCGCGTCCAAAGTGAACTTTGTGAATAAAGACATTGATGAGCTGAGAAATCTGACGGCGTTCATCCTCCACAGAGAGAGCGCTGGAGAATAGTTACTATACAGATTATTCATTTTTTCATATGTATATATAAGTTACTCACTTCACAGAATCATTCAAAATCTTTCCGAGATACATCAATGCATTCGTGACCACAGCGTCGCAAGTATATTCATCACTATTCTGTTTATAAAAACTGAGAATGTTTTTACAAACTTCAACACGAACCGATTCCTTTTGAAAGAGGTCCAAGTAGGGCAGAAAATTGGGCTGTATCAGCAGCAGCTCTATACTCCGATAGTTTTGCATTATCCTGGTTAGAATGTTTTGCAACTGAGAATAGTGTTTTTCATAAGCTTTGCCAAGACACATCCGCGCATTCAGTTCGCCCAGTAATCGGTTAACTTCATGTACCTGATGGAAAGAAATTAGTTTTAGAATAACTGTTTAGTGTGTAAAATCCAATTAACTAACCGTGAAATATTGAGATACAAAAACGGCCCAAGTCTCTACACAGTTTATATACTCATTAGGATCGGTAAGCTTGTTGATCGTCTCAAAGGCAGCTTTCAGGAAGGAGACCCGCTGTTCCTGCAGAGGAGCACAGCTACTAACACAGCTTCCTAGGGAGCGCAGCAATTGCGATTTGGAGATTCCAGGCGTTTCCGATGTATTAATAAGCTCTATAAATTCCAAAGCGTTTGTGGCTATGAACTCTGATTTAAAGGAATTCAGTATAGACATCAGAATAGCACCGCTGTAAATGTATATAATATGAGTTATATTAAAAAGATTCTTTATAAAGTATACCCACTTATTCTTAAGCTGCTTGCATTCATTGAGCATATCCTGCGTGTGGAGTTCGCATTTGTGAACAAGGCAGAGAAGCATATAGTCAAAGGCTGGGACATAAAGCTGCAGATAGGAGCTAGCAGTGACGATTTCAGGATGCAGGTTGAAACGGGCCACAAACCGGAAGATCTACCAAAATATAAATATTACAAATGTATAATGAGAATTATTGAAAAAGACAATCTCACCCACCTGAGGATATATTGTGAACAGATCGCTGAAGTTCTCCCTGATGTAAGTCTTACTGTTGGTAAGCGTCACGCCCATCCGAACCAAGTAGCAACGCGCGTAGCTGGATACCAAAGGATCGGCTATGCCCCTTAATTGATGAGTCAAACGTTGCAATATTCGCTCGTACTCCTCGCGCGATGATGTCAGGAACTCGTAACACTTGAAGATTGACAGCTCCAAGTAAAGACGCGGCAGCAACTCCCGAATAGAGGCAATCTTATAAAACCAATTTTGGCAGGTATCACGTGCTGCTTCTCTTTCCCTCTCCAAAGTGGCAGCCGAAGCTGTGGGATCTCCAAAGGCCTTGGCTTTTAATCGATCATATACCAGTTTACCGAAAACATCCAGTATATCCGTGATGAGCACATACTGACTCGGATAAAACTGCAGAACAGTGGTGTCTGCCAGCATCTTTGCACACTGAATAGCTATTTTCAGAGCCTTAACCCGCTGATCGTTGTGCCAGGACTGGGTTAGTTCCTGCTTGAGCTGTTCAAATCGCTGAATGTATTCCTGCTGCGTGAGATCCATCATGTGGCGCATGCTGCCATCGTCAAAGTGATCCAACTGCTCCAGTCGGTACTTTGTCTTGTCGGCCACCACAGTTTGTGCTTTGACTGAGATGCGGAGTGAACATTTTAATTCGAAAAAAACCTAACTAAAGAACTTACTGCTTTCGTTGCCGTCCAGACTTCCGGATGCCACTAGGAAGCTGGTAGAAAGCGAAAGCTTCTCGTTGGTGGTAAAGCGGTTAAGGATGCCCAGTCTCCGACTGCTCCACTGCAGCGTGTTGTCCTCCGGCTCCGATCTCTCCCGCTCGCGTCTCTTTGACTTGAGATCCTGCAGATACGGATGTGAAATGCTAAGTCACGCTTGTTTCAGTTGTTTCTCTTTACTTACGAATTCGCTGACCATTTGGTTGAGAGGATCGTTGAGTTCCTCATCTTGGCGAGCAAATTGTGATAGCGGATCAGTACCTTCCAGAGCTCTGCTCAAGGGATTGCTGTCCACCACCTTGTGAAAATTGGAGGTTCAATTTAGTAAAGTTGCTAATGGGGCGTTGTATCATTCACTCACCGTCACTGTTTGCTGCTTCAACGGATGATCCACCGTGACCTGCCCAGCCAGGCGGTTCTTTCGGACCTCGTAGCATCGCGGCACGCACACCCTGCAGTCAGATGCAATGTTTATCAATTCTTATTTGTTTATTTTCGGGAGAGAATAAATAAAATACCATTCCAAGTTCGCCATAGCGTCGTGGTTGTTGTTGTCGGCATTCCTGACAGCTGTTCGCCAACAGGCATAGGCGTAGCCAAAAAAAATTTGTAATGGGGTACACACAGCTAAGAAACTGTACTTATTCGGGGGGTCAATTTACCAACATAGCATAGCTGAACGGTAAGGAATATGAATTGTTAGAAAAGATAGACCTAATAATATTTAGATTAGTAGTTGAATTAATTTGAATCAATCATATCAAAATAAATAACACTTTTAGAATATAATCACGAGTAAAAGATTTTCTTAGTTCCAGACTTTTCCAATATAACATTTACCGACCCATAAAACTGCGCCCCTGAAATTTCAGATTTCGGGGCGAATGGCAACTTATAACAGTGATTAACAGTGTGAATGTCAAATGCAGTTGACAAACGACGCGTTTTATTTTTTGTGTTCACAAATATCTTAAAAAACTATATAATTTTGGATTGCGAATAAAATAATGTCCAAATCCGCGCTAAAACACTTAAAAAGCACATGCCGCGTGTGCGGAAAGTACGCGAGCAACAAGCGATCGCCGAAGATATTCGAGCGGACCAACACAAAGATGATCGACAACATTGAGTTGCTCACAGGCCTTCGGGTAAATTTTCCATTTCCAATTATGGGATACATAGAGACATTTATATTAATGTTTCTTTTAGCTGGAGAACTATGGCTGCCTGCCGGATCAGATATGCGAGTGTTGTAGCATGGAATTGGCCTCTGCTATTAAGCTAAGGGAGCGCTGCATCGCAGCACAGCGAGAGCTGCTCCTGGGCTTGACCGAGGAGCAGCGCCAAGGCATCTCGGCATTCTATAGGGCTGCCGTCATGGGAGAGGATATTTCCCAGACGGTAAAAAAGTTTCCACAGACAGACGATGAAGAGGTCTATGCCACCTATCAGGAAATCGTTTTAGAAGAGCCCAAGGAAGAAATCGACGAATCCAAGCTGGAGTACGAGAATGCCTATTTTGAAGTGGCTGAGGGGCAAGTCGTCGAGGACGACGGGGCCTCGTTGATTGAGGAGGAGTATGAATCCATCCTGGCAGAGGACGAGGAGCAGCAGCAGATGGAACTTGATGAAGATTCAGAGCTGATTGTGGGTGATGTTAATGACCAGTATGTCTACGATTCCGATGATGAGGTAGCCGTCTTGGATAACGTGTTGGATGACGAGTACGAGCACGAAAATATTGTGGTCAAGAAATGCAGTCTGCCGCCAAAACCCAAGGTCCGCTCCGATGATCCCCGTCGTCGTGGCACTGGAGGAGTGTACATCTGCGATCAGTGCGGAAATCACATCAAGGGTCGCATGGCCTTTGAACTCCACTGCCGTCGTCATCGCGGCGACAAGCAGTTCGGATGCGAGTAAGTAAATGTCTTTACCTCTTTGGGTACAATCAGATTAAATGGTTTTATCCACAGACTCTGTCAGTCACGTTTCTGCACCACTTCCGAGCTTAAACGCCACATGCGCAAGCACACCGGAGAGCGTCCATTTGCCTGTCAGTACTGTGGACGGTGCTTCACTGACTACACCACCCGGGTGAAGCACGAGCGCACCCACACCAATGAGCGTCCCTATGTCTGCGGCACCTGCGGCAAGGCCTTCACCACTGGCTACATCCTAAAGAACCACATGCTGATACATTCCGGCGAGCGGGCTTACAGGTGAGATAAGAGTATTGCAACTGCACTTTATCTTAAGTGAAAACTATCGAAAGCTTAAGGGTATCCTAACAGTTTTTTTTTGTTACATAAGGACTTATCAAGTTCCAGCCGCTGTTAAAACTATACAGTCCTATTAATCATACGTATATGTATATATTTACCTACGTACACACCTTGTCAACATTCTTCATTTGATTTATGATATTTATATACTATATATACGTATAATGGAACTTTTTATATTTACCACTAGTATAGTCAGTCTATGAGCCATTATACCCCTTCCATCAACCTATTGCTAATCTCTTTTAATTACAGGTGCGAGCTGTGCGACAAGTCATTCATGCTGCCCACCCACCTGAGCACTCACTTCAGGTCTGGAGTTCACAAGCGGCACCTAGAAAAGGCCGAAATGAAGCAGGTCCTTGAGCAAGAGCAAAAGCGGGAACTTAAGGAAGAGGAGGAAGATAGCCTGCACATCTAAATACGGCCGAATAACATATAGCAATTATAAGCGATGCAAGAACGACAATGGCGCACAGCCAAGGAGCATTTCTGATATAAAATCTTACGAATTGTAATACAATTAATCTTGAATATAATAAATCCAAGCTTCAAATCATAAATGCTAGGTATTTGTTTCATTCTATGTATGTCCGCTTACATGCGAATGGCAAAATAAAACAGCTGATTGAAGCAAGCAAAGCGTTGTTTACAAAAATTTAGATGGAAATAACTATTTAAATATTTTAATTTATATTAAATTTAACTGCCACATAATGCAACCTAATGTGTGTCGTACTTGTGGAAAACACACAACTATCGAAAAATCATTGAATTTATTCGAAAACAGCAATCAAACCACACTGAAGCACATCGAGTTAATAATTGGGGCTTCGGTAAGATAATATTTATGTTTCTAAATAGTTATTTACTTTAGTTTTCTTTTTAAAGTTGCAAAATTGTATCACCTGGCCAAATTTGTTATGTATGCCCTGCCAAACTCGTGTAAAACTAGCCAATTCATTCCGGGAACGTTGTTTGGAGGTTCAAAAGGAATTGTTCGAATCGTTATATGCAGAAGATATTTCATTCCCCCAGGAATCTGCCAGAAAAAACTCTGAGCTAGAGGAACACTTGGAAGAGTCACAAATTAGTATTGAAATCGAACGAATAGAGGGAGAATCCAGTGAAACGGCCTGCTTAGAATTTGAAGACATCCTAAGTGACTCTGAGATCTGTGAGGAAACCAATAACAACGACGATGTTGTTTATGATGATGTTAATTACCTAATTTACGAAAGCGACGAAGATGTAAATGAAAAATCAAATCTCAAAACCAACCCTGCGAAACAAAAAACTGGAAGAAAACGTCGGAAATTGTGCCAAACAAATGGTACCTTCTTTTGTGAGGAGTGCGGAAATCATATAAAAGGACATATAGCATTCATATTGCATTGTAAGCGACATCGTGGCGTCAAGGAGTTTCATTGCGAGTAAGTGGTTCCTCCATTTTGGGTGGGTTATAAATAATCTCTTTCATAGATTCTGTGAGGATCGCTTCTGCACACCGGCGGAACTTAAACGCCACGTTCGCAGACACACCGGGGAAAAGCCCTTCAAGTGCCGATACTGTCCCCGCAGCTTCTCAGACTCCAGTACTCGGTTGAAGCATGAGCGGACGCACACGAATGAGCGTCCCTTTGCCTGCACTGAGTGCAAAAGTGCCTTCACAACTGCATACATTCTAAAGAACCACATGCTTGTGCATACCGGCGAGAAGGCTTTCAAGTAAACGGGAACTTCAAAGAACATTGAAATAGAGTTAATATGAAACCTTTTTCCAGGTGCGACCTGTGTGATAAGTCCTTTAGTCGCGATACACACCTTACTACTCATTTCCGTTCGAATGCCCACAAACGCAACATGGTGAAGGAAGGCTCATCCAAATATAAGGATTCTGAACTATTCATTTAAAAATTTAAAAACATTTAGGAGCATATTGCAGATAGACCTTAATACCGAATAAACAAAACTGTACACTATATTTGGCTTTAGGGTTGAGATTGACTCGGAAATTATCTAATTTGTACTATAAATTAGAGTGGATGTTCCCAGAGTAGCCAAATCCAAAGATTCATCCTGCTCCTCTTCCGCTGGCAAAGGCACTTCTATCGTAAAGGGAACAACCTCCGCTTCTGTCTCCTTTTCCGCTACAAATTTAGTCTCCTCCTTTGGCTGGGATTGTGACAGCTGTACCTCACCCGACTCTACTTTCGCTTTCTCCACATTGTGCTTGTGGGTATTGGACCGATAGTGAGTCTTTAAATGGGTGGGTCGCGCAAACGATCGATGACATAGCTCACATCTGTAAGGAATTATTTGTAAGATCATTACTTAAGCTAAAAATTACACTACTTACCTAAACAGACGTTCACCAGTGTGGATAAGCATATGGTTCTTCAGGATGTAAGAGTTGGTAAAGGTCTTACCGCACTGGGCACAAACAAAAGGCCGATCATTTGTGTGGGTCCTCTCATGGCGCAGGCGTCCACTATAGTTGACGTAGGTTCGGTCACAGTAGCGGCATTGAAAATTTCGATCCCCGGTGTGCATGACCTGGTGTCCCTTAAGTTCTCCGGAGGAAAGAAACCGGGCGGGGCACAATCTGAAAGGGTTATTTTGCACAAAAGTAAATCATCAGCAGATCTTACATATGCATAACTACTTACTCGCACTGGAAGGGCCTGATCCCACTGTGCTTACGCAGATGACGATCGAAGGAAGACTTTCCCGTAATGTTGTTACCGCATTGATCGCAAAAAAACACGGGGAGCGCTACCTTCGAGCGCTTTTCACTTTTTTCGGATTTCTTGAGTCCCCGACGTCGGGTTCTTTTCACGCGAATTTCTGAGGTGGGCTCATCATCCTCTGAAAAGGATGACATCGTTTTAATGGCCATCTCCATGGCGGCCTCATTGCACGAATCCAGGTGATCGATTCCATCGTCTTCTTCGTCCCCATTACTCAGGCTCTCCAGCTTGATCATAACCTCTAAGGGGGACGGGCTCTTTGGAACGGGATCTTCATGGCGTTGTCTTTGAGAGCGGGCACTTCGACGAACTGAGGAGCGGGATGTGGCTACTTCGCATCTGGTCAGTGACTCCTCAAAGATCTTTTGACTGCTCAGGCAGCGATCGCGAAAAGATATGGCACTCTTTAGATCCGATTGACAGGTCTCGCACATCCAGTCGGGTAAATCGACTTCAAATTGGAGCTACCATAAAAGTAATCAATTTAAAATTGTCTAAGAGTAATTAGCATTTTTCGTGGGCTTACTACGACGCCGGTGAGTAAGTTGATTTGCTGCAGGACTTTACTAGCTCCATTATTAAATAGTTTAAGCGATTTTGAGTTATCCGTGCTGCTGGCACACACGCGGCATACATTTTGAAGCATTTTACCAGATTATCCGAAAATAAATTGGTAAACTCCCAATTGTAAACAGCGAATTTGTCATTTACTACGAAACACCCGCAATATGTTTACTACCCGTGACGTTGTGCAACACTGGTGTTTTATAAAATAATAATAACGGCTGCTATTGGTTCAAAATCAAATAATAAACGTTTTTTTTTAATAAATTTTTTTAAAATCAAGTAAGTATGCTTATTAAACTTATAAGTATTATTTTAAAGATCCTTTACCATCCTTATTAAGAAACAATCTTATATTTAGATTTCCTCAAGTTCACCTGGCTTTGTTTTCTTCACCTTTGACATTTTGATGTGTGTCATCGAACGATTGTGCACGATGAGATGAGTTTTTCTTTGAAAAGAGCGATCACAAAGGTCACACCAGAAAGGTCTCTCACCCGTGTGGATAAGCATGTGGTTCTTCAGAGTATGGGCTGTGATGAAGGTCTTGCCACACTCAACGCAGACGTAGGGTCGCTCGTTGGTGTGAGTCTTTTCGTGATTCACCCGACCCATGTAGCTGACATATCTCCTGTCGCAGAAGCGGCACGCAAACGGTTGCTCTCCGGTATGGACACGAAGGTGGGCGCGTAGTTCACCGGCAGAGAGAAATCTGGCATCACATTCCCTAAGCAAGATACAAAATTAGCATATAAATTTACATTTGTAATCCCCGAGAGAGGCTTACTTGCAGCCAAATGGACGTTCGCCCGTGTGTTTTCTCATATGTCGCAAGAAAGTGGATTTCGAGGTGGCATGAGTCCCACACAGCTCGCATATGTATATCTGGTTATCGAGTTTGGTTTTGGTCGTAATTCTGGGAATCTTTCGGGGAGACGAAAAATCATTTTGGTTACAAGCTAATACAAAATCCGGTTCTTCTTCTGCCTCCCGATCATGAATCAAACTATTATCCAAGGGCTGCTCTTCAATTAGTATTTGAAATGTTTCTTCAAGCGCTTCGGCGTTGTTGGTTTCCCGAAAAGTGCCGACTTCAACATGTTTTTTTGATTCGTTCTCCGATTCCTCCTCGGCACTCTCTTCCTCCGACGAGGAGTCCTCCTCTATGGTCAACCATTTTTTTTGCGTCTTGATGCACAGCTTACGAAAGGCCAAAGCCGATCTGAGTTCCAACTGGCAACAGCGACACATAAAACCAGAAACATTATCCAATTCCCCCAGCTTGTGTAAACATTCCAAAAATGTATTATTTTTTTCTGCCTCTTAAGCGGTTTTTAACTCACCCTCAGTCCAGTGATCATGTGTAGATGCTTCAGAAATTTTCGGTTGACCAAATCGAAGAGATTGATACTCTTCTCGCAGAGTTTCTGCCTTCCGCAAACTCTACATACGTTGTTCAGCATCTTGAAACCTAAACTGAACTGATTTTAAATGCAACTTCATGTTAATCTGTTAGGCATCGAGCAATCACAGGCAAACGCGTTTAATATATTCAAGGTACCAGAATGGAGGGATTTTTTTTAAAGATTCAAAGCTTTATTCAAAAATTGTAACAAACTATTAACAGCTTTAACAGTCTGGTCAACCAGAAGCTGTCTGCAATTAGTAAAACTTAATAATAAAAGCATGAAATATAAGTTTTAAGTAAAATAAAAAATAAGGGCAACAAAACCCCTTTAAGTACTAACAATAATGTTTTGGTTAATATAATAGAAGTAATGCTTACTTATGAAATCAAAAAGATAAGCTTTATAAAATATTTAAAGTAGATGCATATAAAAATTTAAGAAAAACAGGCGAACTGACAAACATTAATATTTCAAATATTTAATAGATAATATTAGTGTAAAATATGTTTTTTGTGTTATTTTCATTTTGTATAGCATTTTCAAGTTTTTAAGCTGCCGTTTAAATAGTTCTTAAAGATCTACCAACTCCTAAATAACTCTTCAGTTTTTTTTTGTTATTTTACAAATATAAGGCAAGAAATAATACATAAACTTCAGATTTTTGGAAGACAAAAATTGCCGTAAGAAAAAAAAAACGTTCAAACGTGCGTTTTAAAATGTTGTAAAATCTTAAAAATATTAAAAATCCGATATTGAGCTAATTTAAAATCGGTGATTATTGAGATTATAATTGAGATTTTATAGTTTAGTGAAAATACGCCTTCAACCCAAAAAGTTGGTACATTATAAAGTAGGTATAGACACTTTAGGCACTTTTTTGAGATATTTAAAGATTTCAACAACTAAACAAACATACTCTTAACTACAGGGTAAAAGGCTTAATATTGGCTTCTTGTTGCTGGGTTTGTAAACATAAACCAATACTTGGTACGGTCTTTTTGTCTTTTCTGGAGTCATTCAGTTTTAGTTGGTTCCCACTTACCGATATGTTTTTAGATTGCCTAACTGATAGTCAAAGACTAACCATTTGACAACTTTAACTGAATTAAAAGTCTTCACACAACAAAACAAATTGTGTCTGCACCAAATTATCGTTGATGGGACTAACTACTTGAGTTCCTTGGGACTGGGACCAAGTTTCATTGGTCTCGATATTGACCAAGGACATAGATTCTGATAACGACAAAGCCATCTCAGTTTTTCTCTTATGCGCATTAGATCTGAAATGGGTCACCAAGTGTTTCTTCAAGCTAAATGATCGATCGCATACATCGCAGCTGGATAAGGTTAAATATTATTGGAATATTTTTTTAAATATATCAATTTTTAAAACTACCTGAACTTTTTGTTTGCTGTATGGGTCTCCTTGTGGGCGTTTAAGGTGCAGCTCCTCGTAAAGGCCTTCCCGCACTGGTCGCATACAAATGGCCGCTCATTGGTATGGATCCTCTCGTGTTTCTTCCTACCGACCGCGGAGAAGTAACGACGTTCACAATACCGACAATCAAAGGGAGGCTCCATGGTATGATGACTGAGATAATGAGCCCTTAATTCATTAGCCGTTAAGAAGGTCTTTTTGCACTCTCTGGAAGTCATCAATCAAAATACACGATTAAAATTTCAATTTCATTTTCGTGAGTAAAACCGGTAGTTGAAGATGCGATCGTGGGACTTGACTTGAACGCGGATGTTTGTTACGTAACGCACTATTATGTCATGATATAATATTTATTTGGTGGCTAACTTACTTGCATGGATGGGGTCTTATCCCAGTATGCTCATACATGTGTCTTTCCAATGTTGATTTATTGTATTTAATAAGACCACAAGTGTCGCACTTGTAAATTTGAACTTTGGGCAATTCGCAATTTGAATCCAAATCCTTCTCGACCTCGAAGAGTTCCGAATCTTTTATTTCGATGTTCTCAAGGTTAACATCGCTATCTGACGCTTCTGGCTTATCAAAGATCTCCACCGGTTGGTCAAATTCATCATCAACACCTGTTGAAGTTTTAATATCACTTTTAACGACAATGTCCACGGTTTCTAACGGCTTCCAGGATTGCGACTTTCGTCGCTGGCATTTTCTTTTTTTAGGCACTGGATCCTCCTTCTTCTTTTTCTCCTCCTCCTTCTCCACCTTTTCCTTCCCTTTCTGTACCTTATTTTCCACAACTTCATCTATATTTTTCACTGGCACCCATTTCTTCTGTTCCAAGATGAACTGCGTCCGGAAAAGCATTGCTGAAGTAATGTCCGTCTGGCAGCAGAAGCACACCATATCCGGTGCGTTGGGAATCTGCTGAAGCTGTACCACAGAAAAGAGCAATTAACAGATGAGCATGATCATCATGTTCATGCTCATCTGTTAATTGCGCGATCAATTTCATGAATTTTTTATTTACCCGAATTCCGGTTATTAAATGAATACGGCGAAGGAGCTCCTTTCTGCCAGGCTTAAAGAGATTCACGGCCTTGGGGCATAGCCTGCTCCTGCCGCAAACTCGACACACATTAATTAACATTTCACGATTTTATTTCAAAACAAATAAGATAAAAGAAGTTGGTTGGATTAATGTTCATTCACCACGAAACGTACCCGCACTAGTGCTGTAAAACGAAAAGGCAGCCCTTTAATTTCAAATATTGCGCCATTGTATTGTGAATTACAAAACTTTATAATTCAAAATTACACTTGGGAATTTCGATTTATACATTTTTACAATCCTTTTCAATTAATACCTATTAAAATAAAAAACATTTGCACATTCTCTTAGTTGGATATCATTTTGGTTTATTTTGCAAAGAATTTGGAACTACTGCGGCCAGGGCTATTTCGAAAATTTTAAAACCTTTATTTAGAGCCAAAAGTGGAGAGTAAAAGAACGGAGGAAGTCTTAAGCATTTGAGCAGTCGTTGTCCTCGTACGCCTTGATCGCGTGTTCCTTAATCTGTAAGTCCTTATGGAACAGTATTTCGCTGTGCAACGCCTCTTCACGTTCGCGGGCTATCTTCAGCTCCAGGAGATCGAGACGCCGCCGCTCTATCAGAACACGATAGCGATGAAGCTCATGTTGTCGCTGTCGGAAGGTGGGAAGTTGAGTGGTACCCGCACTGCCGCTGCTGGCACTGGAGGACTTGTTGGCCACTGCTGCTGGGGATGATGCGGCCTTCGTTCCAGCGGCCATCTTGGTCACCGCAGTCCGACGTCTAATTGGAGATGTGCCCCGCCGCCTAGCCTCCATGAACCCGCTGGTTGGCGTCGATACATGGACGCTGATCACCTCGCTACGCAGTCGGTTTCCAGAATTCTGGTCCTGGACGGGACTGTTCTTGGGGACCTCTAGCTCGCCGGAGCAGCATGAATCTGTGTCGTTCGTTATCGACATGCGCCTTCGATAGGCAAACCGAGGTTCCACCTCGCGCACCACACACGTCTGCTGCGGCGGCAGGCTACAGGATTCCATCTTGAGGTCAGTTATCATCTTACACGATGATGATCCCTGGAAAATGCTCGGGAATCGTTCAGGTGCCGGGTCCCTGCTCTGCTTATACTTAAGCGACTCGTGAGATGGTTTGTAGCGCAACGCTAGGCTAGGTTTGGCTGTCAGCGCGATATCCGTCGGTTCTTCTTTTCCAATTTCGGCTTCCGTATCTTTTTTGCCCTGCTGTCGCTTATGAAGTCCGTCGAAGAGACGTCGCCAGTAGATAATAGCCCGTTCCTTGGAGTTGGTCTCCTTCACCTCTGGCAGAGAAGTGGCCGATGCGCGATTAGCACTCCAAACCGGCTCCCGCACGGTAACTGACTTCTTGCCTCGCTCTCGCTCGTCCTTTTTTTCGACGTCGCGCACTTGTAACAACCAGTTCTCAGAGGATGTTCGACTCTTGGTGGGTATATCGGTTAAGTGACTTTGGCTTGGCTGGGCAGATGTACAAAGATTGCGAACTGGAACGCGACGATAGTTGACCAAGGAGTCAAAAGTTTCTTCCTCGTCATTGAGCTTCCACATAACGTGGCGATTGCTGCCGGTCATGGACTGATTAAAGGCCTCGTCTGGAAAAGAATAAATATAATGAGAATAATCTAAATCCGTATGCGGCATTTTTTTTATAGACTCACCCGACTTGTGGTTTCTGTCCATGGAGATTACTAGAATTTTCCGATGAACTGCTCTTCGAAATCACCACTGGCCTGCAGCAGTTCTGCTTTTGAATTTTAAAAATGAACCAATTTGGATGACCTATCTGTGTGTTACTAAAATATATCTGAAATTTTGTTGACACGAAATAAATTACACATATCCTAACACCAAAAGATCATACTGAACCCGTAGCCTACTAACAACAGATGTTGGTTCTTTGGTTTTGATCTTTAATTGGTATAAAATCTTTTAGGTTTTTGTTTTTTGTTTTCTTTGTTTATTAACTATCCGTTTTACACGCGCTTTAAAAGTATGTTAACATTTTGCGTTTAACGAAATTACATAAATATTATACAGGTAAATTATTCAACATAGGATGTGGTTTTTGGTTTTGGTTTTAGTTTTGTTCCAGCTTTCAGCGGTATATTTATTAATTAAAATTGTCGTTTTTAAAAGCATGAGATTTGTGGACTGTCTGAGAGTTTTGCGTTCCGGTTTGTGCGCTATTTTTCTATGAAACCACAAAAACATTAGTGACTAGCATTATAGAGGAGCTGCATTTGCTGCTCCAATCTCCGAACCTTGGTACCTTTCAGGCGGGGATAATTGAGCGTGATTTATCGGGGGTTTCTGTTGCCAATAGGCAGACTTAGTGAGAAGAATTTTGCGGCACTATAATGGAGGGTTTTTGCCTAGTATTTAACACTCTAAAAATGTTGAATATGATTTAGCTAATTTGTTGTTCACTTTCTTGTAAAACGTTTCTTCTTCTGTGTTTTTGGTTTTGTTTTTAGTACCGTCTTGAACATGTTATTTATGCTATTTGCTAGTTTTATATAAAGTATTTTTCATTAAAGTACACACATGGTCTAGACTTTTGCTGGGCTTCATCTTGTGTATGTTCTCCTCCTCTTTTTTGAATATTGGTATGAACTACTAACTGCTTCGCTTAGTGGTAATGAATTATTTTGCTGACCTTTTCTTTTGGCGATCTTAAGCACCATTCACATGATTCTGGTTTTGACTAGATTTTCTGAGATATTCTACTTGTTTTGTTTTTTACAATTCTTTTTAAGATTCGAGCTATTTGTGAACTATTATAAATTATTTTCACACACATTAAATTTGTTTTGGGTGTTTTTTTTTCGATATTTTTTTACAAAAAAATTGTCATCTTAAAAATGTGAAAATTATTCAAGTTTAAGTTTTGTTTGCTTTGTTGTCTTATATTGGTTCCAATTGATGCTTAAATGTTAACAATTTTTGTATATAAAACCGTTAAATATATGTATATAAGAGTGTGTGTATGTTATCATAAACCTTTCTATACATAAGTATTTAATATGCTACATATGTTTTTTTTTTTTTTTTTTCTGTTTCTGTTTAGTTTCCTCCTCGGCCATGAGCAATTCAGCTGCCTACTACAATTCATTATCATTTTCATTACAATTTTCATTAGACTTCATCTTATTCACTTCCGATCTTTGTATATTGCTAAACTTTCGCATGTATATATTTGTTGCTGGTTGGCTGATGTTGCTGTCTATGTGGCTAATCATAAGTTACTGGACGACACAGCGAGAAAACGAAGACGATGGCATACCACACCTCGGTGAAGTAAAGGGCAATCTGCAGCGTGCACAGGCAGTACTCCAGGCGCAGTCGGTAGGTCTGCAGCAGGAGCAGATAGGAGACGCCCACGAAACAGGGGGCGGTCATAAAGACCGACAGTATGGCTGACCAACCTGGAGTTAAAAGATAGAAAATTTCATCATAAACTACACGATAATGATAAGAAATCTACTATAAGAATTGCTGACTATTCAAAGAAACAGGCTAAGAGCTCAAGAGATTGTTTCAGTTATGATTCATTTACAAGATAAAGAATGTTTCTCTTAGTTATAGAATATATATATAAAGAATTCCTTATTAACAGCATATGCGACAAATGATAACACCCTCTATTAAAGATATTGCTTTTGTAAATCCTAAAATTAGAATCGAAGGCGGGTGGGAGCTTTCTACCTCGATCGGCCAGCGTACTCGCACGACCCATTATCAGGCGAATGGTTTCGAAGACAATGAAACTAATCATCACTCCCGTGTCCAGTGCCAGAGTGTGTCCCGTATAGCTGAGATTGATGGCCTTCAGGAGGCCCATGGCCATCTCGCAGCAGGCGAACATGCCGAAGTAGAACGAATTGAGGTAGATCAACACCTCGTAGTTCATGCTGGGGTTTGGCTTCTTCGGCACGAGCGGCGGCGGTCGCTTGGGCGGCATCTTTATGCCGGCTTACCACCTCCTCCTCCGGCTCGTGATCCTCCTGCTATTCCCCTGATGTCTACGGGAAAATTGGCCCGAATCGATCCCCCGGATCGCTAACACGGCGGCGTTGCTCACGTTGGGCACTGTATTTATAGACTGACCATAATAATAACGCGGACCTGCCGTGCTGCTCGCTTGGCCAATGCAACGGCAACGGCATCGGCGGTCTCACAGTTTGTTTCTGCGAAATGTGCTGTTTATTTGAATAATGTGCTGCTGGTCGTTGTCGCCTTTTATTTGTTTTCTCTGTGCGGTCTTTTTGGTCAGCATTGACCGACGTATGGCCTGCCCAGAGAATAATTTCACTAGTCATAACAAAAATTATTAGGAAATATACCTGGAAAACTCCCCTGGCGAAAATCTCCCTTGGGTAAAAAAAAACCTGGTTCCCTACAACAACTGAGTGAGTTCGTTAGTGGATAACTTTAGGTCATGTACATTTTGCAGGGCATGATGGCCTGGCAAGACCGAACCAGGAGAGTCCGCTGACAATAAACAGCCCTCTCATCTGGCCATTATAGCCAGCCTAACGTGTCCGCAGTGGCCCGTGTATATTACATTCAAATTAGAAGTGTACATTGCACCTAGGGGACAGCATCGGTGTTGCACGAGCATTGCAGTTCGCATATAATTTTAGACCATCAGAGCCGTATAAAAATACGAAAAAGCGACCGAGCCCGAGGCGCAACTGCGCCAGCAGGGAGGCAACGCCACAAAGGCCGGACAAAAGAATGCAACCAAGAAATGCAAATTAAATGCAGCTTTGCTTCTGATAGAAACGGACGCGTCGTGTCGCGTTGCCTCGTTGCGATGTGATTTCCGTGGTCGCGAATGATCTGTGTGCGGATTATATAAGTCGATAAAGGGTTCACATACCTTGCGGTAAAAATCCTGTCCAACTGCCACCCAATGGGTATGTTTCGGTTTTAAAGTTTTCCTGTAATATCTTGTTGTTCTATCAAGTGGATCCTTAAGAGGTCTTCTTTTGTTTTTTGTGTGCGGTGGCTTAGTCTGCATTAAAGTGGCTCAGTTTGGTGGCCTTGGCGAATCGCTTGATGTGAAAGTGCCAGAGGAAAGTGTCTCGTCTTCGTCGTAGTCGTCGCTCGGCTGTGGATGCTTCTCCTCTTCTAACGTCTCCTCCAGGTGGGAGTGTAAGTGCTGGCTTGGTCTTGATCTCGATCTTGGTCGTTGACGTGGCGGCGGCAACGTGGTTTATCAACTGCTAGGTGTATGTCACGGGGCGACACATTGTACAAATGAATATGCTGGCGTAGACTAGTTCAGCACCTTGTAGGGTGATCATTAAGGCACTCAGAATAATTTCGAGTTTGAGAACATAGGTTTGAAAACAACACAAGTAGATAACAATAGCAAGACTGGGCAGTGTTAATATTACGGATGCGGTTGCTTGCCAGCCTGTAATAAAAGAAAAATAGAAAAGAATTTTATTAGCCTTATAATATGATGAACGTTTGTCTTTGTTTATAATTAATATGGCTCGAATTTTTCCTCGACATATGTACAGCTTTAAATAGATTTCTGCATTTTGTCCAGCTATTAATTATACCTCGTTTAGCTTACACTTTCTTCTTATAACTTTTAAGAAAAAATTTGACACTCCATTAAAGTTCAAATTAAACAAATTAAATAATATTTAGAAGCCCAAATGTTTTTCAATCACTTTTTTGGTGGCTCATCTCGATGATTCGCTTTAATAGATTTCCATTGAATATTGCTTAATGTGCCAGAAGGGCGCTTCCCCATGCCGCCACAAACCGCTTACACTCATCCGGGGTGATGACCATAATTACGCATACGCCGTATAGACTACATATACATATATGTACGCCCGAACGTTTATGGCTTTTGGCCCCAAGGGGAAGGGGATGTGTATCATGACCGGGAAAACAAATAATTTTGCCATGTCATCATTGCTGTCGGGTGGTTCATCCTTCTTTTTATATGTTAAATCTAATATGAACTCACCACGATCGCTGAGACTGCTCTTGCGGCCAAAGACTATTCGCAAGGTCTCTATGATGCACAGGGAGAGCAGGATACTGGCCTCCCGAGACAACGCATTCTCGCCGTAGTTGAGATTGATCGCCTTCAGCACGCCCACGCCCACCTCGAAGGCGGCGTACATGCCAAAGTAGAACGAATTCAGATACATGAGTATCTCATAGATGAGGCTGGCGTTCATGGTGGCCGCTACTCCAAAATCGAGTCCGTGACCGTTACCGTATCCGTGTCCTCCGCCGTTGCTCCCAGTTCCTCAAGGCGGCAGGTGCGTCGCCTCAAACTGGTTTGATGTCACCTGGGCAGTTTGGAGCAGCTCCTCCCGCTTTTTCACAGGCAGCAGCAGGTGTTTCGGCTTCTTTACGCCAGCATTGGGACCTTTTTGGGTGGTATGTTGTGGATGCCTGTTGGACTGAAAAAGTTTTGCTAATTGTGGTCTGCTCACATGCACAAATCTACAGTCGAACTTCCTTAAATAAAACCTTTTAATTGGATGTATGTTTTTGGGAAAACTTCATGGTCTCCCTAATTTTTAGGTGACTATAAGTGTTATCCGCAATTCTACTTGATTTATATAAACATATATATATATACACAAATATACATATTACAGCATATACTAGACATATTTATAAGTAGAATATGTCCATTATGTATTGTAAAAACCTTTAACTCTGCTGTTGGTTTTAAGGAGTAACACTTTTAAATTTCTTTTGATATCAGTTTTTTGGTTCCATTTATGGAAGTTTGACTGTATTTACTTATCATCCTCACCTCTTCCGATGCTTCTTCTTTTCCTTCTCCTTTGCCAGTGCTCTTCCTCTAACGGTTTCGCCGTTGCTTTTGTTGTTGTTGTTCTGGATGAGGTCCCGTTGTCATGGGAGTATATGGTTGTTATGTTATGTATATGCAATACACGCAGGCGACAACTCTATGCTAATATTAAGTACATGCGTTCACGTTTATTTATACGCGTGTGCGTTCTGGTTGCCCGCTGGCCTGGCTGGTTGTTGTTGGTTTCCTGGCGAGAGACGAGTGGCACATAGAGGGGCTTATATAAAAACTCTGCCCATCCAAGGAACCTCTCCCCGCGCTTCTACACGCACAAGCACAAGTGTGGCCATGGCCCAGTAATGGAAAAAATCAGAGTTCCAATTGGAGAAGTGCGATTGCGGTCACACTAGAAATGTATTATTTTCCCTTTAATTTATTTAACATATCTCCTCTTTCGGCATCACAATAACTAAAAAAAATTAAAATGACCTTTCCTTTAAGTTGTATACAGTGTTATTCTATAGTCTTTCTCTATCTACAGTACCTTACACGAACGTGATTTATTCTTATCTACTGAAAATAACTATTTAAAATTAACCGCCAAAGTGGCTGTCAAATTTGACATTTGACCAAAACGAATACTTTATATTCGATAGCTGTCTCAAAGCGATAACATTAAATAATCTAAATCGTAATTGCTCTATTTTGGTTAAATAATTTAATTTACCTCAGGTTTTCTGCCTTCTTGAGATGCCGGCCGATCAAATTCAGTATTCGGAGAAGTATTTCGATGAGAAATTTGAATACCGGTAAGTGATGCATCAAATTAACTACCCGCGAAGTGTTTGTTTACCTTTTAACCCGAATTCCCTCACATGTAGGCATGTTATTCTGCCACCGGACTTGGCTAAACATGTGCCAAAGGCTCATCTGATGACAGAGACGGAATGGCGCAACCTGGGCGTGCAGCAGAGTCCCGGCTGGGTGCACTACATGGTCCATGCACCGGAGCCACATGTGATTCTCTTTCGCCGCAAACGTATTCCGCCAGAGGAGGCCCCACAGGTGGCAGCCGCTAATGCCGCCCAGGCTATTGCGAATCTGTGCGGTTAACCAAGAGATCCCGTAAAGAATCACTCTTCCATTGACACTAACATATGCTCACACAGTATTTCATAAGTTAGCATCAGAAAACCTGATGTAAAATGAATATCCATAGCTTTAAGAGCAGTTCAGCTGGCAAGTTCAAAGACACGAAACGACATGTAGATGACGTTTCTGTTAATTTCATTAAGTTTATTTACCTAAAATACAAATCGAAGCGTACGCCCTGTGTACAGACAATTTAAAAGTAGTGATTAATTAATTGACTAATTGTAGCAGCGCCATGCCGCCGGCAGCAGGCGATCCATCCAGTTCTCGTTGCTCAGATTGCAGTTTTTCTGAGCGTAGTGCTCCATGGCATATAGTGAGATCAAACTGGCATTTCCCAGAATCAGTGAGAACCACAGGAAGATGTTGCCCATCACTTTGGGAGCACTACGCATTAGGAAGACCAAGGCAACGCCGACAACACCGAAAAAGAAGAACATCACTGGGAAGAACAATTGGAGGGCGAAGCCGAGAACCTGCTCATGCACCAGAGCGGAGATCATGAACACTGACAGCGAGGCGCCCACCTTGGACCCCCGGAACACATGAGTGTACATATCCTTGTACACATACTCGTACAGCCAGTCGTGCACCACTACATTCCAATTCCTGTAGTACCCATCGTAGGTGTGCGACGTCCACCAGTCCTTGTAGAACATTCGATCGCCGAAGCGCAGCAGCTCCGACGTGAAGTTCAGCCACGAGTGCAGGATCAAGTAAAATCCGCACAAAAAGATCACTGCACTGGGCAGCATCATTCCGAAGAGCTTGAGGATTAGCTGGGAGGGTCCCATCGGCTCCAGGCCAAACTGCCCAAAGTGTTCTTCAATGTGCCGCTCATGGATGAAGGCGTAAAGGAAGGCTATGGCCACAACCTCCAAGAGGCGGTTTAAGGCGAACTTCCAACGGATGTGAGAAGTTCGCGGATAGCTGTCCCGGTAGATCAATGTCGGTGCAAACAGGAAGTAAGTGTAGCAGCTCAACGGTGGCACAAAGGGTTTTCCAGTGGCCTCCTTCTCTTCCTCTGCGTCTTCTTTCTTAGCCTTACCACCCAAAACCCGCTCTGCATTGTACCTTACAAAGGCATGCATCTTCATCAGCAGGCGAGTGCTCTCCAGCAATAAGACGCAGGCACTCACGAAGGGTAGGTTGAACTTAAGGCACAGGGAAGTGGACACGAAGCAGAAAACCAGCTGGGAGCTGATGTACAAAATTAGGCAGCTGTGTGACCAGAAGTGCTGGAGGGAGCCTGAAAGATGGATTAACTGATTAGAAGCTAAATTTAAATTAAATTGGAAACTATGCATAAGTCATCATGTTACTCTAATTCCAACTAAGTCAATCTACAATTTTTTAAGAATTAAAGTACTATTTCCTGTACTTCCTTTTTTGATAACTTGTACTCAGAAAGGGAAATACTTTTTATAAAAGATTAAAGTCAGAATTATTTACGTAATGTTATAAGGTCAGGGCTTTCGTAAAGCCAACATTTAACAAAGAAATAATACGTAAATAAACGTTGCACAAAAAAATTAAACCAGATGACTAACTATAAACTCGCCATTCCTTTGTTATAAACGAAACGTCACAATTTTCTTGTTAGGTTCATAAAAATACGATTACCTTGCCTAAAAGGCTTTTACTATAAACGTTTTATGTAAATTAAATTAGTGTAGACAGGTATGATGTATTCTTTAATAGAGTCTAGAAATTTCTTGTTAGAAATGTCAAAGTGTAGAATTTTACTAGGTTATCCTACTTACTGTGAGGTTTCAGCTTGTGCCTGACCAGAGCCCATCCGCGAAAGGCGTAATAGAGGGCCAGGACGAAGACATGCTCCAGCAGCCAAACGCCCATTACCCAATGCAGTCTGCGTAGTCCGCCCCGGAAGGTGCCCAGACCTAGATCGATCCGACCCTCCACGAAATAATCATAGCAGATCACGTTCAGCAGAAACATGACCAGAATAATGTAGAAGATGTGGTAGATGGTGCGCATGTGCTCCACCTGCAGCAGAGCGGTGAGGTACGATTCTCGGGCAACGAAGACTTTTTCAGGCAGTTGTCGTTTCAGTTCTTTGCCAGATTTTTCGGCTTGGTGCGGCAGCTTTGGATTTGTGCCATTTGCATGACCATTTGGCGAGTCACTGACGTCCGTTGGCGCTTCGCTGGTCACGCGATTGTGCCAAGTGCTCTTCCGATCGGATCTCTCAAAGTTGGGGAATTCATGGGCTCTCAGTTCCCGTTGTCGCAGATCCTGGATCACATCCTCAACCATGCAGGAGAGTCTTTGCTCAAAGTCGGTCAGCAATTTGGACTGGAACTTCTGAAGTTTATCACTCACAAAATTGAGATCAGGCAGCCTGGGCTGTGACTCCATTTCGCTTCGATTTTCATGCCTTTCCGCGGCCATGACTGTAACTCAATGTTAACACTTAATTTCTGACGATTTAATCCTGGCAATCTGGTTAATCTTTAGCCGCGTTACTCAACGGACTGCCCCCGGGGACGTCAGTTTTCACAATGTTCGCGTCGTTGGCTTGGCTGCGTTGTTTTCAAATCGGCGATGATAACGGCGCTTGGCTGACTTAGCAGGCAGGGGAGTGGATTTAAGGGGGTCTTTTATGGGGTATATAACCCTATAACTGATGGTATTTCAATGTAAAACTAAATTAACTTTGGAAATTAAATTAAATCTAAAAATTTTTTCTATAAAATGCTTTATACTTGGGTTTACTTTTAACATTTCATAGGCCTTAAATAAATGTCAATTAATCCATACTACGCCCCTGACTTGAGTTCTCTTAGTCACTCTCTTCGTTTGATTGAGCTCCAGCTCTAACGCCCTCGACACTGGGACGGGCCTTTGCTAAGTGCGGCAGAATTGTAATTGAAATACATTTGGTTTAATATCTCGCACTTTGAGCAAGACGATTAGCTGTCAACGGCACTTTAATCAGTCTATTCTACGCCACAAGTGTGATAAGCCCTGTCCATTGGCCTCGTGGTGGCCACTGACGGCTCTCGAGAAGGCGAGTGCTCATGCACTCGATTTGTTTACATGATGCTGACCCGATTGCCTGAGGCCCAGTGCATTGCGCACAGTGGGGCCAGCATAGTGGAATACTAAAGAACGTATAATAAAAAATAGTTTATTTATCTATCCGTTCTGGAGATATTTTTCCACTTTTTAAACATTTTTAATACCGCTTTATATATCACAAAAATCATAAATTTACTTTTTAATGCGTTGTAAGTTTAAGTTATAGCTCGATCTACTAATTTTAAGTTTCATTTAAGTTAAAAATAACTAGAGTGTTAAATAATCTAAAAACTTAAGAATGACATATCAATTTCTTGGGAGACTCATGCGCATTAATACTTTTAAAATGTCTGAAGATATCTCTATCAAAGTTCATGCGTTTTATTGATAGGGGCTAATAAAACTACCAAGATTAGCTAAGTTTTGTAATCGCTTTGCGGTTAACCGCACCTGTGATCGCGATGTACTTACAGAAATAATGGCAGTAAACTTATTGCCTAATTTATAAAGACAAACTAGTTGAGAAGTTTTCCATAAACTATGGACGAGTATATCTAATATTTTTACATTAAGAAACTTCTTGTTTGTTAATAAATAACATTGCTTTACATTTTGCAGCCATTTAACTTCGATTAAATATTTTTTGTATCTGCTGATTTAGATCTTAATCTGGAGTACATTCACCCTATGAGGTCTATATTTATTTTATGGTCATAAGCCTTATCTCTCAACTGACTTAGGTAACTCCATCTAAAAGTTAAAGGTGAAATTGGTTAACAAGTTAGTATGGCTATAATGTTTCAAAGAGTTGAAAGCATTTCCAAACTTTAGATTGATTGTTGTTAGTAACTGCCACTAAATGAATGAAATATATATTTAAGTTAGCAATTTTCCTGTTTGCTCGTGGTAAATGCATTGAATCATTGAAAATGCTTTCCAAATATTTTCCAACAAATACTTAACTTGTGTGTGTAAATTATGAAATTTTTAATTAACGAATTTTTCAAAGCCAAAAAATTGCAGGAAAAATGGTAGATAGTTTTGCAGTATCAAATATGGCCTAAATTGCAAAATGCATATGTGTGCGTGGGTGGGTACAAAGATATTTTGGCATATTTAATTGCAAATATTTACGAGAGTGTAAGTTTTATGCATATGTATGAGTATATGCGTATACCGATGAGTGGAATAAAAACAAATACACTAACATAAACATAGTGTTTTGATAGCGAAAAATGAGCCGAAATTAAAGCTCACGGCCATGAGTCCTGCGGTTCGCAGGATGCACGCGTTCCGTATGTGTTAGTTGGCGTATGCGTAAGCATGTGTGTGTTGGCTGGAAATAATATTAATACTGTGCAGACGCAATAACCAAAAATATTTATTATTTATGCGAAATAAACAGCAGCGGCAAGAAAAACTCAACGCACATACCCATAAACCAAATATGAAATTAATGCAAAAATGACAACAGCAGCTAGAAACAACGCTCAACCGAAAAAATAACAGCCAAAAATGGAGAGCGTAATATCTATATATATATATCTAATGTATATATATATATATATATATATATATGAAAATAGGAATAATAAAAGCTGCGCCAGAACCAGAACTCGTAAAGCACAGGGACCGAAACGGCGGAGGCAAGTCGAAGGGTATTCATAAACATGCCGCCCGAAGGCGGCCATTACGGAGCAGCCAGAACGGGCGGAGAGATCCAGATCCTTTGGTCCGGGATAGGAGACAAACGTACACATAAAAAGACATTTTTATTGCCCCCCATTCCAAGGAGCCCAAAACCAAAGAACCGACTCCAAGCACAAAAAAAACGAAGGAGGGAGAAGCAAAAAAGGCAACAAAAATAATATGCGACCGCATAAAAATCTATATAATTCATAAACCCGCACTGGGAACAGTGCTGTCATTATGGCTTTTTCTGGGATGTCGCATTAAATTTTAATAATAAGCTAGAAGTTAGGCTATCATTATATTATTATTTAATATGTATGTAAGAAATCACTAATAAATTTAATAAAATTAAATAATGATTTAGAATTATGCATGATCTTGAATCCCTAGATTTGGTTGTACGAGTATTATTAACTTTTAAATTTATTTTTGGTTCTTTAAACTTGATAAAAACTAGCTACAATTATGAGAACTCAATTGATCATTTCAATTAAAATATATGTATATGAATCTTAGTTTCTTGTCCTATAATCTCATAATGTCTGTCCCAATTGATTAATTAATAAAGTGATATTTCCCAAATCATAAAGAATGGACATTTAAGAAAAGATCAGTGGCATCACTGCCCAGTAGAGCTGCCGCAAAGTGGGGAGAGGAGTATGGAGCTTGGAGAATGGAGAAGGCAGAATGGAGAGCTGCGACCGGAGACCGGACACGGGAAAGCAAACACGTACGCCGCTCTGTGGCGGCCATATTGGGTCATAAAAAGCACTCACACACACTCGCGCACGCTGGCACACACTCGCACACACACGTACACATACACATAGAAAGCAGCATAAAAGCCTGGCCACAAACCAAAAGCGGGGCAACAACAGCAACAATAAAGGAGGAAAAAAGTGACAGCAGCAGCAGAAAAAATTTTATGATGCTGCCTGCGCAAAAGTTTTGTGAAGCAGAAACATATAAAAAATGTTGCATATTTTTGGGCATGTGGGAAAAGGGGCGGACAAAAGTGGGCGGCGGCGTTGCGTGTGTGTTCCTGTGCCTGTGCCTGTTTTGTCATTTCCGTTATTTGTCGTTGTGTTGTTGGTTTATAGGCGCACAGTTTTGTGTGTGTCCCGAAATGAAAACAAAAGCAACAAAGCAAAAACAAAAAAAACAACACACACATACAAATTAGAAATGGCGCATTTTTGTAATTTGGTAAAAAGGCCCATAAAACGCAGCCAAAATGTTGCCGATGATGCCATTTGCCATGATTAGAGCTTCTAGGCTAAATTTATCCACAAAAGCAAACATAAACATAAATTTCGTTTTAAAGGAAACAACAGAATGTTGGAATTTTTGCGATTTTTGATTTAACTTTTTGATGCACGTACAAAATTTGATAATGCAAAAGGTTAAAATTAATTAAAATTGGGCTTAAAATGTGGTAATTGATGAAATATTCAACCTATTTTTAATCTTTAATAATACATTATTGCAGGACTAACATAACAACTAATAACACATTAATAATTAATTATATATTCACAACATGTTCTTATTGGTGTTGTCGAAAAATATTTATAATTTGTGTAATCAATTTTTAAAACTAAGATTGTTATGCAATTTTAAGCTATTTTTGTAAACTATATAACTGAGATGCCTTACCAACAAGACAAGGTGTAGGTCTCTACCTTTTAAAATCATATAATATATCCAATATGTATTATAAGAAAATAATATTACTTTCTAATCAAACACAAATCTTGCCATAACCAATCCCCCAAAAGATATTTTACTGCCGGTTTCTAATTCACCCTGACCAGTACCCAATTTCCGCAGGAACATTTCCTTGCAGCTTCATTGCCCTCACGTTCGAAAACCCAGGGAATTCAACCATATGGAAGTAAATCTAGAAACCAAAACCCTCGCCAGGATTCCAGCCTGGACTTTTGGCCATTTCCTGACGCTTTTTGGCCAGCCACGTTATTAGCGTCTAGCACATGGCTCCACAACGCCCGACTTGTAGTTTTTCTGGGGGCGTGGCCGATGGCACACGTTTGCAAAATAAACTAAAGCTGCTGCGCCTGCCAGCCCAATGGACTTTTGTTGACCCCACCGCCTGCACAGAGGACTCATAAAAATATGCTTGAAATTGCTTTGGCCGAGGAAAAAAAGGGAAAATAAAGAAAAGCGGTGAAAATCAGTGGAAGTTGGGGTACCGAGGGGGGTCATGGGCAGTGGAAAAGAAAGAACGCTTAGCAATATTTAATGTCGCCAACGATGTCAACGGAGCGAAATCAAGGGGACCAAGGAAACTCAGAATGAACATGGCGACTCCATTCGCTTTTGATTGTTTTGCAAACAAAGCGAAACATTCTCTTAGATTCAACATTCTGATGTACTTGGAAAAATTTGTATTATATTTAGGAAACTATTTTATATGAGATATTAAGCCATTGAATATGTAAATATGTAATATCTAGGTAGGTTTATATAGCAGGTATATCTGATATACTTAAATATTAGCTGGAAAAAGTAAATGTGTAAACGCAGATTGAGAGATCTATAAAAAGTAAGATGAATTTTCCTAATTTAAGAGCATAAAAAATATATAAAAACAGATTTTAAAAATAAATTTTTATACTTTTTTAATACTTTATTATAACTACTATCATTAACCTTTAGATAACCCAAAATAGATACATAAAAAACGTTTCATTTTTAAACCCACTTTATATCAAAGTGTACTCCCATCACCCAACCACCCACTCACACACACACACACTGTCAAACAAATACTTTCACCCACCCTAACACATACACCCTCACACACATACACACCCACTCAATGCTTTTTGCGTTCTTCTTTTTTGCCCACTTAAACAAAACAAAGGGGAAGGAAGGAAAACAAAATAAAAACGAACGAAAAAAACGTTGGCAACTTTTTTCGAGGGTGGATTTTCATTTTGTATGGTTCATGATTTCGAACTC